AAAGGTGGGGGGGGGGTTGACCAATGCACACTCGTACAGGTCTGAAACCTGTATGCTTAGGCGTTGAATAACTATGGATTCTAGGACCTAAGATACAATGATTTTAGTTGTGTAGACTAATCTGTGATCATCACGAAGTGACCTTTCCGCTCTCTTATGAACTGGAATAATTAACGACTAGTTTGATTTGACAGAAGTACTTCTGATTTCCATAAATTAGGTAGTGCCTCAGTTACTTAACAAACAATCAGGTCCTGAGGCTCCGCATCATTTCAGGGTTGAAATGGTCTTCTCAACTTCGAGGTGAGATGGAAGACCAACACCTACGTCTCACTCAAATCTAGGTTGGATGCTAGACAACTGAAGCTCCTTCAATGTTAGAGAATTATTTTTTCTTCATTTATAGGTGTTCAGTGTTCTAGGGTCCCAATAAAAGTATAAAATCAGTCCATTTCAATCGATTAACAATTATTTTACTTGAAGTATGAATTGACAGACCAGTTTTCCTTCATTTGCATACCAGTACTAAAAGCAATACAATTGAGACAAAAATAACAAGCCTAACTGTGAATGCTACTTAAATGAGTTCAGTTTGAATCGTTTACTGTCAAAAATAAATCCTATTTATCATGTTTATTTGGTGATTGAAAATTGTACGATTGTGTAAACGCTTGTTTGATGACATTATTCATAATCAGATACCAATACTGGAATAATTCATACAACTATCATTTTTGAATAAATTGTATTACGCAATAGAAAGTGCTATCAGACATGCATCAGATCTCACTAAATAGACCATGATAAATTAAATACTATTCAGCTGCTTTCGTTTCTCAGTAAGAGATATATTTGTAGTTTATTTATTCATATCAGTTCCCTATTATCATCTTCATTACAACCCTTCTCTGTTTTCATCACTTTTTCGCATTCATCAAGAAGACACGCAAGTATCTTGAAGGAATCTTCAGTGTTTCATCAAGATATAATCTTATTTCATCTCTAGGATTCAAATTGAATACTATGCTAATGACGTGACTGTGATCTGTTTATCATTCAGGTAAAAGACTTGCTTCAGATAGCCTCCATCCAACTTATATCTGATCCCATTTTAGTTTACTCATTACATGTGTTAAACAACATTATTTACTGGATAACGTTTCGGACACAACTTATTATCCATAATCAGGCCAAGTAACTTAGTAAATTTGAAACATGGTTTATATAGTTATAATTCTTTCTCCTTCTGGATTGCGTTATATAAATCATTGGATTACCCATATATCTAGAACGGGTAGTGAATCCTTCCCACTGCTTAAAATTGGTGTTGATTCAACAAATGAAGATCCGGTTATCAATAGGATGGGACATAGAGACAATATTAAAAACTAAATTGTGTGGAGAGATTGATAACCAAATCTAATGTTTATCGAAGCAACACCGAATACGTGCAGCAAGAAGGGCTCAGCATCTGTTCCAGACATAAAAAATTATATTGCTCGCATCACGAAAGAGGAGGGGAGAGAGTATTATCACCACATAAACCATGTCTCAAAGTTGCAGAGCTACGCTGACATAACTATGGATAAACAGATTGTGTTCGAAACAGTAAACGATGCTGCCCCACTCACTAAGTGACGTATCTAATGAAAATTAAAGTAGAAATTACAATTTACCACACTGCGCACCAGGTTTTTCTAATAATAATAATAATAATAATAATAATAATAATAATAATAATAATAATAATAATAAACCTTATTCCAAACAATTTGTGGTACAATTTGGAATTCTCAGGGTAATATATATTGCAATAAAAACAAAGTATAAGTATATACATACTACTTTGCAGCCTCTCGAATTGTTTTATTATAAAAATTTAAGTTATGTGAAGAATATTAAAAACGAGAAAATTTTGCATTGTAAGTTAAATTATTGAAATGAGATTTTTAAGTGTTATTTCTGTTCTAACACTTTTTTCCTCACAAAATATGCGTGCAAGGTAAGGTACAGTCGAATTCTTATACTTAGCTGTACGAGCATACAGTCTTATGTAGTTTCTCCTTGTCCTCCCTGAGGAGATACATGGAGAGAGCTGTAAATGAAGTGGATGCTCACTGTCAGTTAAAATTTCTGTAGCTAGTAGCTTGCAGGAATTTATATGTCGATCAACTACAGTGTTAATCAGTTGAGCCAGACACACCACTCACCCTGCTGACGGTCTTCAAAGCCCTACGCAACATAACATAGTCCTTTTTAAGAAGACCAGGAAAGATTAATGGGGAACAATATAGAAGAATAGGTAAAATGCAGGAATTAATAAATTGTAAAAGAAGCAGTTGAGTTATACCAGAAAGCCTCAATTTCTTTACGTAATAAGTTAAACGAAAGATTTTTTACAAGTCAATAAAATATGGGACGACCAACAAAGGTCAGAAGTAAAAGCAACCCAAGATAGTTCACACTCGATTTACTTTCTGCAGAAATACCATTGATGCAGCAGGCGTCATGAGATTTAAGCAGCTCACATAAGTCTTGTTTACGCCTGAGGCTAAAATTAACGGTCTGACATTTAGAGGGGTTTAGTTTGAGACCATTTACCAACTTCAGACAAGAATTCATTTAATTTCGAGCAATCCAAAGAAGAGTTTACTGGAATAGAAATCGTCAGCATACTTGATAAAATTAGTTTCAACAGAATAAGGCAAATCGTGCAAAAAAAGGAAAACAGAAAAGGAGAAAGTACAGCACCTTGAGGCACACCAGCTTCAGTAAGCAATGAAGTGGAGCGCATCCCTTTATGAATAGTGTACTGTTTCCTTTCAGAAAAATAAGAATGCAGCCATTTTGTAACCCATGGATCAGTGTGAGCTATGGCAAGCTTATTTAACAAAAGTGGTCTAGGAACAGAGTCAAAGGCTGATGAGTAATCCAAAAAGGCACAACGGACATACTTAACACCTTTGTCGAGACTAGAAACAATATTATGATGCAAGACAGTAGCTGCATCTAAAGTACTCCTCCGGTGTTTGTAAGCAAACTGTTTTGGATCTCTGAAGGCTCAATCACAAGCAGAAGTAATTTCTCCATTGTCTTCAGAAAAGGGGAAGTTATAGCGATGGGTCGAAAAGTAACATCTGATCCAGAAGATGGCTTAGGCACAGGTACAATTTTTATCTGCTTCCAAGCAGTGGGTATTATGTTTTTAGAGAACGATACATTGAAGATATCTGTAAGTGGATGACACAAAATATCTGCACATTTTCTAAATATGATACTAGAAACACCATCAGGACCTAAGCTTTGGGAGGGATTCAAAGACTTTAGACATTTAAATACATCATTTGTATTGAAACCTGGAAAGCAGCTATCCACTTGATTTTGCACATTAGGAAGGGTGAAATTAGCTTGCCGACGTATAAATGACTTGTTTAACGCACAGACATCCGAACGAGTTTGTTTTGTCATCTGTTTTTTACCAGTAAGCTCTTTAAATAATTTCCATATATTGGAAGAGTTCTTACACGATAAGAACTCGTTGTATATAGTATTCAGACGTTGTATTTCAGACTTAATTAGGCAGTTAAGCCTTTTAACGCCAGGGTGATCTCTCGCCTTATACAACCTTTCCTTTTCTCTCCGAAGCCTCTTGAGATGAGGAGAGGAAAGTCTGTCAAATCTCATGTAAATTGTTTCAGTAGGGCAGCAGATATCGAGACAGAATCTGAGATAGCTTGTGATATTGGTAATAGTGTTGTCTAAAACTTCATCAGCAAATATATCCCAGTCCGTTTCTATAAGCATGCTTCTCAAACGTAATATATTTTCTTGTGAATAGCATCTGTATTGAACTTTCCTTGAAAGGTATGCAAAAGCTTTCTTGTATAATTTTCCGTACACTTTAGGCAAAACACGAACAATACAGTGGTCGGAATTTAGCAGTGGAGCCCGTTTACGGGCTTCATATATGCCAGGTTCATTTGTAAATGCAAAGTCTAAGTGTTGTCAAGACGAGTGGAAAAGTTAACCATATTTTTATGACCCAATGATAATAGAAAACTGTAGTCACATGAGTTAAAATCACCACAGACAATAGACAAGGAGTTTCCCAGAACCGGAGCAGCAAATTCAGTGAATTTATCAGCAAAAGTTGACAAATCTGAGAAACTGCAGTCAGGTGTGACATACATGTTTGTGATATATGTGTATTTGCTCAAATGTTTGGGACGACATTTGATGGTAATGCACTCAATTTTTTCGTTAGAGAAGCAGAAGCATACATAGTTGGAGGACGACCAGTTAGTACTAATAAATGTTGCTACACCACCACCACATTTCTTCTTCGAAAAGCTTCGATCTTGTCGAAATAATTTGAAACCATCTAAGCAGACTAAGTCATCATCATACAGATTATGAAGCCATGTTTCCTGCAGCATTATTACACCCGTGTTTCGATAAACATTTGTGGACAAGAGTGACTGAAGGTAATCAACTTTATTCGGCAACGACCTGCAGTTTGTGCTAAGTATTTCCGGAATAGTCATTTGATCTATGGTCATACGCTTCAGAGCTCGTTGCCATCCACCATGGTGCTTCTTCTTAAATTTCCTATCAACTTGCGAAGCGATAGGTTGTAATGATTTCTAAAAAGCGCGAGAATATACAATACGATTGGTTGACATAATTAAACGATTAAAACAATATACAATGAGAAATTTGATGCAATATACTCGGTGATAGAAAACAGTAGCCCAAAGTTCAAGCAGGCCGCCAGTTCACCTCAATTTTACTGTATTAGTTTTAAAGGTTTTATATATTCTTTTGCATGTACATGATAAGACATATCTGAACAGAAGAAATACCACCAACTTACGATGATCCTGAAAAGAAATATGCATATCTAAGATAAAGTTGGACGAAATATGATAGAAAGTAATATGCATTAACTTTAAAACATTTGGAAGAAAAGCACGTATGTGAAGAAACATTTGTCAGTTCAGTTAAACAACAACTTCCATAAATGAACATTTATCACATCCTATACACAGTATAGTGATCATTTCTTTAGAGATGACTTCTTCACTTAAACTATGTTGTACGGATGATTGATAGCATGGATTCTGATCAATAAGCCAAGCGTGTAAAGCATTTGAACAACCCGAGGCATTATGTTTGTTTTCAGCTTCAGTTAGGCTATTGCCAATGGTAGAGAGATTGAGACTATCAGTCTAGGAGATAAAATAAGTTTGTTTCATTTATTTATTATAAAAACAAAACAAATCATCGTGAGAAATTTATTGTCAACAGGTTGTGATACAAAGTATTATTCCAAGTTGTTATTCATCGTAGATTGACATCAGTTGGAGGAACATAGGAAACCTAGGAGCATTGGACAGCTGTTTCCTCCTAGTATGGGACTCAGCAGTGCGCACCCACAACCCCGTCAGGGATCGAACCTGCGACCTTCAGGTTCCGTGGCTAGCAGGTTACCATTGAGCCACTGGGTCAGAATCCAATGCTTCATATTTCCAACTTCTGTTAGCTCATGATATAGCACAACCGCCACCCAATGTCATCGTTGAGTAACTATCCTCAAGGCCATCAGGCTTTGTCAGTCTACGATGAATAACAACTTGAAATATTTCCAAATCCTCACAACTCCCTCAAAATACAAGATTTTATGCTGTTTGAATGCACCTCTTATCCGTCAAGCCTCTACACACATACATACATGCACACAACGTAAGTACACTGAGGCATTGTGTCCGGATATTTCATTTACTTGCTTACAAAATGCCTAGAAAAACAAATGTAACAAATCAGATTGCTTTTAACACTAATCAGCAGTTTGTATAGGACTAATTTGTTCACGATGAAGTTTGACACTTCGCATGATATTTATTATGAAGTCAAGGTATACATATGCAAGTATTTTGCATATTTCTGATAGAGATGTTGCGTCATTTCTATTACATATATTGAGTGTTGATTCAATGAACAAAGATTCAGTAATCAATCTGTCTCTTCACCTAATTATATTGGACTAATGTCCAATGATTTTATCCCATCCTATTGCATGAATTGCAATAGCCGAGGTTTTTTTCTAGATTACTGATCTTATTGCGATCTATCAATACTATATTTAGCTAAATTCCTGCTTGCCGCTAATCTAACTGACCCCGACCAGCTACTCTGACTGATGTTCTTGACCTTGCAGACATTAAATGGAATTTGATAGATTAGATTATTTGCTGAATTGGTTCTTTTGTATTCTTGAGCCGACAAAGCTTATCTCTGAGTGAATTTGTGGGTTTAAATGCCACCCTAATTCCAGCCTTGTTGAGAATCTTACATAAACTTTCTGATGTTCTTCTATTGTAGGATAACACAGTGGAGGCTTTGAACTCCTTTCTACTCATATTGTCGCTACTATTCGTATTACTGATATCATTTTGTTTCTTATGTGTTCGTACGGATTTCTTAATAAACGGTAGAGGATAATCATTAATTATTAGCGCTTCTTTTACGTTTCAATCCCCTATTTAAGTTTTTGAAATGATTAGTGATTTCTTTTAGAAATTTGACTAAAACTGCCTTAACTGACATTGGTTGAGATGATCTGAAGACTAGATACCTGTTAGAATGTGTCGGTTTCTTTTACACGGTAGTACCTTCGTCTTATTCTGTGGTCCAACATAGGTAATTCTCCTTGTGAATTAGATTGCGTCATCAAGTAAATAATACTGCATCAACGTGTGCTGTATATCAAATAAATAAATTTAATATGGAATTACATCCTATCAAAGTGCCCAAGTTTTATATTTATATTAAAGCTCTGAATTTACTTCTGATGCTTGTTAGTTTCCAGCAGCAAGGTGCATCTGAGATCCTAAAGGAACTGATGCTCATTTAGAGATCGTAACCCCTACATCACCGATTGCTTCACTTAGTGACGTTAACAATAAGCTATTCAAGTTTGTATCTCTCAGCAGGAGTTGTTCCCCCCCGAAAGGGCAGATACACCTTGCTGAAGACTGCCGTTAAGTGCAAAACCTAGGTCCAGAGCTAACTACTGATACATATATACATATGAAAAACGGTAAATATATTTTAAAAGTTATTGTCATGGATGGAAACTGAAGACTAGGAAGAACAGGAAGGTGATTTTATTGTTGTTTGGGACTCGTCAGTAATATTTACCCAAGACTACTAAGTCTCATGGTGAATGAGCTACCCGGTTGGGATTCATTAGTTCACATTTGTCAACTTTTACAAATTTGGCATACAGTACAACCGTTACGTTGTCAGTTGACCTTCATACTAACAAACAAGTTAGTTAATCATGAGTTTTCATTGGGATCTCAGGAACTTCATCTGAATGATCATTCCATCTTCCTTGTTGCTTCTTCCCTTCAATGTGATGATAGGATGTAGATGAAGATCTATGTTAAGTTCGTTCATCAATCAGTCGATCTACCTACTACTACTTACTCATGTGAAAATTCGGTTAGTAATTACATTATAATCGAGATAAATGTCACCTATCCGAAGAGCACTAGTTTATTCACCGAGACAGAGTACACAAATATAAATCTATGAAAGAAACATTAACGAATTTTCCCTATAAAAGTAAGTGAGTGTAGAATAAAGCAAAACAGTCAATAGTTACATGCATAATAGTAACAGTGGCAGTAATACCAACTGAATCCAAAATCATGATAACATACCTACCTGAGTATCTAAGTTTAAATTACATGAAGAGCAAGTAAGAACCGTTCCTGTCAAGGATAAATAACCACTGAAATGAAAAATAACGGAGATGAAGGTTTTCATTATTTCACAATTTATTAAATATGAATAACTGATACCTATGGCACAAAAGATGACTTTTGTGCTTCAGTAGTCTAGTGGATAACACTCCAGTATGTAAAATGGTGGATGTTCGAGTCTCGGTGGGGACACAAACAACCAGTGAGGTGCAGGTACGTTTAGTTGGTCAGCCCCAAGTACGACAAAACGCATTTACTGGGTTCTAGTGCAATATAATTTAGCAATAGGTTTTAAAAATCTTTAAAACCCCACTAAACTTATTCTTCATGACCTCAAGGTGTTCAAAATCCTTCTTGTTCATACATGTATGTTACCTGAAGATATTCTCCTTTCGAGATCATATCTTATTTTGATGATATTGGTTTGTGAAACAAGTGGAAATCTTCCAGAACAATTTTCTTGTAGAGACAATGAATAACAGCTGTTGGAGCAAAATAAAACGGATCTATTACAACATCGCTATTTTGTCACCTGCTTACAACATAGAATAACAGAATATGCGGTTCGATATTAAATTCAACATAATTTAATTAACTAGAAGAATAAAGGAGACTTCAGAGCAGAACAAATTTGTTTCTGGCGATATCATATTCTACAGCTAGTACATCATCCTGGAGAGACTAAAGGATGCGCCGGATTCAAAACTATGACCGGAACAGGTTGGTTGGCTGGCTTCAGAAAGTATAAATCATGTGCGGACCAAATTCCAACGCCACACTACTCATCATCATAGAACAGGATATAGAATGGCAGTCAATTCAACTCCACCTCAACTTCATCGACTTTGAGAAGGCCGGATTTTGACAGCGTCGACCGAGAAGTAATTTGGGAGTTGTTTCAACACAACGGAGTACCACAAACATTAATCAGCCTCATTCAACAACTATATGATGACTCCACATGCCAGGTAATTCACAATGAGAAGCTCAGCTCAGTGATGCTTTTGAAGTGAAGACAGGAGTGAAACAAGGCTGTCTACTATCACCATGATATTCCTGATTGTGGTCGACTGGAATGGATCATGCAAGAAACAGTGAGGAGTGAGAAGAGGGTGATATGCTGGACCACCGAAAAGAACCTAGAAGATTTGGATTTCGTCAATGATGACTTGTGTCTAATATCACACAAACTTGAAGATCTGCAGGCGAAAACTAACAAGTTGACAGAAGAGGCAGGGCAGCGAAGACGGGACTTCAAATGGATGTAGAGAAGACAGGGGTGATAAAGATACTCAACCAACATCACCACCAACAACAACAAGGTTCAATCACCATCAATGGGAGAAACTTAAAGGAAGTCGCCTCTTCCACCTATCTAGACAGCATCGTTTCAACTACAGGCGGCACTGGCACAGACGACGACGTCAAAGACAGCCAGGATTGGAAAAGCAAGACAGGCATTCAATAAACTGAAACCAGTGTGGAGATCTTCTGCACTCAGCATAAAGTGTGAACAACATCCGGATTTTCAACACCAACGTCAATTCAGTGCTGCTCTATGTGATAGTTGAGAGACTTGGTGCATTTCCAACAAACTATAGACATTCATCAACAACTGCCTACGCTGGCTCGTTACTGAAGTTCAGATGAATGGCCAGAAAGAATAAGCAACAAGGAACTCTGGCTGTCTGGCAACGAACCAACCAACAACCTATCGCTGAACAAATATGCAGAAGGAAGTGGGGATGGATTGGGCATGCACTGAGAAGACCATTCGCGGAGATCACGCGCCAGGCATTCGAGTGGAACCCCGATGGAAAACGACGAGTTGGGCGTCCAAGGCGAGGGTGACATGGAGGAGATGGTGTGAGGAAGAAATGAGAGCTTCTGGAGAATCGTGGAGCCAGCTTGAAAAGATTGAAGAGAACAGAGCGCAATGGAGACGTGCTACTGAAGCCCTATGTTCTACTAGGAACCCAAGGGACAAACAAATTAATAATAATAATAATAATAATAGTGTACATGAAAATATCAATATTTACCAATCAAGAAGTGTTAGTAGTTTGTCCCCATGAAAGTAATATAGGAGTGGAAATTAATCGATAAATATGAAAATATTTGACAACATGAGTAAATGTTAATTGAAATCAAGCAGTAAATAATTCGTAACAAAGTGAGTAAACAGTTGTCAGTGAGCAAGGGAGTGAGAAGTGTGTAACTGAGTTTAACAAATATCGTTGAGGCAATAGTAATATGAAAATTGAAAGACTATTAAGGCTTAAAAACTAAAACGTTTAAGAAGTAAAAAGTGAGTAAGGGAAAGGAATGGGAAAAGGGTACTTCTGAATATGCAGTTCCGATTTCGATTGCTGTATTGCTAGAGCTTTTATAGAGCAAAGTAAACGTTTTCTCATATCCTTTAGAATGTAACGTTTTACCTTGTAGACTAGTGCAGACGAACCTTCTAGAAGTGTGTTTGCTATCAACCAGATGTTGTAATATGCAGTTGTTGACTGATCTGCGTACGGCTGATGCGGTTAACTATAAACGAGTAGGTGAATTAATGTCTACATACTGAAATAGCCAGTAGTGTAAGTTTATCCTATGCACACGTGTTCACTATTGGTTGATTAGTATAAATGATTTGTAGATTGGCTGTATAGAATGTTCTTTTGACAGGCTTCATTAGTCTGTGTTTAACTACTTCGTCTGTTGCATCTCCATTGAGTTCGAAGCTCCAAATTAGCTTTTTCTTCTCCATATTGACAGGAGTCTGATAAATAGTATTCCGATTTAAATTTTTATTCACAAATCCATTTGTGATGAACATCGACCTAAGAAGTCAAAAGAGTAGGGAGTACAAATCTTTCAGATTCCAGAGGAAAGGGTATGAACGAAATTTTTCTTAAGGCTGATAGGAAATCAGTTATGAAAGTTTATCGTTTATCCAGAATACAGAACATCAGAAACTAGTTAGGAAGGATAGCAATAGTCATAGGCGTAAAGGTATATTACAATAGTAAATTTAAAATGTACAATTATATACAATAACATAAGATTAAAGATATCAGTAGTTGAAACTTTCTTTAAAGTCAATGTGACTCTTGTGTACCAAATAAAATGTTCATATACACATAGTTGTGATAGTATGTTAAACTTTAAGAACCTCTATTAAATTCACATTTACTTCATGACTAGTTTCTTTCACCCTATTTATTGACTGATATTCTTTTTTCTTTCAATGAATTAAATCATGTTAGAGTTTTAATTAAACTATATATTCTCTTGTTTTAGTTTGTAAACAATTGACAAGATATCACCGAAATAAAATGCATCCATTTTATTCTGCTCTCATTGTTGTTCTCGCTTTTTTTTTCTTTTCATTAAAGAGAAATTTATACAAAAAATTTTTTTAAAAACAATTCTCATTTGACTTCATTCTTCCTCTAAGTTAATTTGTATCATTTACTGCTTAGTGAAAGTAATATACAAAAAGTTAAATATGCTGCTTTTAGAAGCTAGTTAGTTTGTATTAGTATTGAAAGGCTATTGAGAAATGTCGATATGAATTCATCTGTTCATCGTTATCTACTCCACCCAAAAAAATGCTGAGTGACAATTTCCCCATGATATTCAGTGAGTACATTTTATATATTTTCGAAATAACAAGCCAAAGAAAAAAACAAACAGATAACCGACTTTCAACCTGAACTGAGATATACTGAATACTTCTTCACTATCTAACAGGTTGTGGATTACAGGAACAACTAAACTAGAGGTAGTCCCTGACCTAAGGGCAGAACTGAGCCTTGCCAATCCAAGGCAGTGCTTATCACTAAATAGGAAAACCAAGAAGTATATAACCCATACACAGCGCTATATGCTCTAACAACTTAATCTGTATTAGAGGCTACGGTAAGTCACCATTAACCTCAAAATACATCGGTGCATAGCACTCATTAGTGACATGCTTTGAGATGGATATCCCAAAGTTCTAATGAGAAGCCATCATATCTGGGGTCAACCAGTCAGATGTGGAGCGATGGATACCAACTGAAGACCTTGGTGGATAGTCGCACTATATCACAAATCCATAGAAGTAGGAAACTGAGGACCATCGAACTACAACCCAGTAGCTGAATGCATAACACCTTCACCGTGAAACCTGAAGGTTCTGAGTTCGATCCCTCACAGAGTTGTGGATTCATACTGCTGAGTCCAATACTAGGACGAAACGGCTGTCCAGCTCTCCCAGGTTTTCAATGGTTCGTCAACTGATGTCAGTTTCTGATGAATGCTACCTTAATTTTCACATATGCGTCAATTGAGGTGTAAACTTTGTCAGTTGATTGGTGATCAGACACAGTGACTGTAAGCAACACGGGGAAAGAAAATTAATAATGAAGTTCAAGGTTGGGTTGTGTCGAGTGAGTGATTAGTACAAAGAATGACATGCATAATAATATAAGGGCAGAAATGGAGTGGATATGTCATCATAAGGTGGTTAAAATGTAAAATGGCTAAGATAAAAAGAGTAGTAATAATATGAAAACTTTAATAGCAATAAAAATAAGGCGGAAAGAAAGTATGGTTAGAAAGAATAACAATTTTGTTTTCAACAGGAAGAAAGCTGGAACGAAAACAGGGAAAAAGATCAAGAAAGAAACAAAAAGGTTGAGGAAATACCTTTTAGTCAACGGAAGGTCAAGGCTTCAACGTGTTATTTTTGAATACAAAGTTCAGGCTCAGTTGGTCTTATAGCTACAGCTTCCGATATATAGGAGAATGAGTCAACGAATGGGGATTTTATGTTTAAGGTATCATTCCTCACTAACATCTACCAGGTTAAAGAATCTATTTGTAGTTATAATTCGATAGCCATTGTGGAATGCATTCGCCGCACATTTTGGTTATTAATATGTTAAGGAAACTGACTGTACAACTGTAAAAGCTATCGAGAAATAAAATTGAAAAGAATATTCTTCATTCCTAAGTGACTTTTAGCCCAGGAAATGAGAATCTGTAATTGTGTTTAATCGGATACTATATCTAACTAGTGGGAGTTATGTCGTTGGGGTTGTTGATCGCCTTGCTTGTCTTTGAAGGAATCCTGGTGTGTGTCAGCGACTGTGGTGCCCGTTCGTAAAGTCTTTAAATTCTGATTTTAGACATGGGGGGGGATATGCATTCCTATGGTGAAGGGCGAATCACTTTTATTTAGTTATAAGGTTGTGGTTAGTTCAACTTTAAATATACAGTGTATGTTTTCGTCTTCAAATTGATCACGTAAAAACCTTTCAGATACATGTTCCCTGGACCCATTTTTGAAACAGCTATAAGGTCGGAACAATAACTGAACGGAGTGCAAACATATGCTCAGGCAATCTTAAACGGAACCTCCCCAACTATTGATAGTAATAGTTAGTCTACCCTACGTCTATTATCGGTGCCTACTAGTCCAAACAACTCAGCTGATGCTCTTCCATTTATGCATAAGTCACCCTCGAGTGTCTGAACACCTTCTGCAGGAGGACGGATGGCTTTCAGTATAGAACCTGCTACACATTGCTTAAACTGTAGTCATTGAGTGCGTAAAAAAAGGATAAGACACATGAGTGTTAGAATTATTTCATGCGATGGTAGTTATATAGATCACATACCGGTTGTAGGGTATGAAGGTTAGCTTTATTCTGTGAAACTGCATGACACCCCTTAAACCAACAGGCTCATATGAACTAACCATCAAGTCTTCAGACCACTATAGCCTGAATGTTACAAATTCATCATCCTTCCTAAGTGGAATATAGTAAATAAGTGAACTTGAGGTTTCGTATAACCATCTCAGAAACATAATATACATTCTATAGCCTTGGATGGTGTGGTTATGGTTGTTGTTTAATTTAATATACGGTTTGGAAGTCGAAAGCTGCAGTGCAGTTAGCAGCACAGATTTTAAAGACTCACTGTAAATAGTACTCCGTTGATTTCCGTTGTTAGCAATGATAGTAGAGCAGGAAGAAGCGTAATGAAATGCAGAATAATAACTGCTTTGAGTTTCATGATTACTCAACTGGATTTCGTAACATGGTTCAAAGAACTCGCTTACAGTTTTTCGAGACTGCTTGTTGTAGCATCTCCATGTTTTCCCAATCGAATTTGTGGTTGTGTTTATCTAATTGCATCAATACCATTGGGGATATATATATATATATATATATATATATATATATATATATATATATATATATAATGTAGTTTGACTACTAGTTGGTGGTCATGATTTCTTCGGTCTAGTCGACGACTGGATTGGCCAACATAGTAACGTTAGCAGTCTGCAACTAATTTTACCGACTATATAGGCATTACCTTCGATGGGTAGTGGAGCCTTTAGCTTGCAGAGATTTTGTTGGTTTGTGTGCCACACTGTTACCCAATGGATGAAGTAATCGGTTGCCACTTTCTGAGATATCTTTAATGTATGGTAAAGTGATTCGAATCCCGGTGTCTTTGAGCATGAGTACTATTCAAAGTAAACAGTTAACTTTCTAGTTGACTTCTAAAGTTGTGTGTTACTCTAGTGCTCTAAAGAGTCATACAAATCAGTTTACTCTTCAGCTTTAAAGTCGATGTAAAGCAAAACAAAATTTATCGTTCGTGGCTATTATATCAGAAATAAACAACTAATTGCAAAGACTTAATTTTTGTAAAATTCACTTACTTCCTACATAAAGGACATATTACATTCTCATTTGCTGAATGAAATTGATCCATGCCAATATCTTCATCATTCCAAAAGTCTGGATTCAAATAATCAACAATTTCTGGAAATAAGAGACATAGAATATGAGAAAACCATGTTAATCATGAGGATGACATATTTTTATGTGAATCAATTACTAAGTGATCACTCATACAGTACTCGGAAAGACAGACAAAATCAAAGTAGAACTTTTCACACAAGTGCATCGGTTCAAGTTACCACATTTCACAGTAGCATTCCAAGAATAAGTGGATAGAATAAGACTGATATAAAAAAAGATAAAGGTGTATGGGAGGAAACGAGTCGAATCAAGCATACTGTGGTGCTGAGATTACTGACCGCTACGTAAAGGCAATGAAAAGATTCTACTTAATCATTGAAATAAAGATGTTTGTTTGTGTTGCGAAAACTTTCAGTAAAACTAGAAGGCGAATGAGAATGGAAAACAAAGAGTATAGATAGAAAGAGAGAAAACCAGGAGAATGAAGGTATATAAACTAAAGCTATACCCAGTATAAATACAAGCCTTATGAACTACGGTTATCTCAGGTAGTCAAACTGATAACCAATATAATGCTCAGCCTCTCGAATTCAGGTTGATTTGAATTGGAATGAGTTATGGCTGGGCACCCAGGGTGAATACTATGAATTAAGAATTCAGGTATTATAAATTTACATGGCGATTGGGAAAAACTCTTAGTGGTTAGAGTGAAACTAAGGTCTGGTCTGCAGCAGGGTCCTGTAACTTAGTTAGTAGAGCACCGAGCCGGTAAAATAGAGGTTACTGGTTCGAATTTCACGCTCAGTCATCACCCAGTATATTATTACTTGTCCCTTGGGTTCCTAGTGGAACACAGGGTTTCAGTAGCACGTCTCCATTGCACTTAATTCTCTGAAGTCTTTTGAACTTGGCTCTAAGACTACCCAGAAGCTTCCATTTCTTCTTTTAGCGATTGGATTAGCTTTACGGGGTAGGGTTGATAGCCTTATGTTCAACCTTCCCTCTTTATCCGGGATTAGGGCCGGCTAGTAACTAGTGAACTAGGCGAGGTTATCACCCAGTATAAGCCTGATATATTTTTCATAAGAGAGAGGATATGAATGCAATAAGTAGAATGATTCACAGTAATATCATTTACCGACTTCAGGTTGAGCTACCTCAACACAACGAAGACTAGGATTAACACATTGGAAATCTAGTTCCTATATTTTAATCGTATTATTCTGACGAGTGTGCGATTTCTCCTCAAATAACTCTAAATTTTGAGATACATGAATAAAAACGGAAAAGTATAAAGTGGATTTATGAGGGAGATTGGTCAGCAACTACTCATGTCAGTCAGTAGCATAAATTGGAACAAAGTAGCTTAAGTGTGCAAACCCATGCTAAACACAACATTGCATTCCTATCCAATTAGCGATTCCAATGAGATAATGATATTAACAGAAGAACATGCATGAATTTAAAAATCGCGCAGTTGAGATGATCGTATTTCAAAGAAAGACCCACATTAATTGTGCATTATATTGTTGGTGAAAAAGAGTGGTAGTGTAGTTGAAACCATAAGTTCTGTAGTTAATTGAATACACAATAAGAGTAGACTACAATCATAACAAAAAATAACTGGTAATTTATCCATCAAGGTAGATGTAGTCGCTTAAACGGTGGGCGGGGCGAGGATTAATCTATTCATAACACTATATTCATCTTAGTGACTAGCAGTGGAATCCAGGACGTGCAATTCATCCTGTTTGGGACTCATAATCTGGATGTGCCTGTACCCCAGTAAGTTATGTTGTTCCCGATAGGAGTCGAACCACATACATATCGCTCCAAACTCCAAAGCGCTATCCACTAGGCCGTGCGAACACGAGAGGCACCTCTTGCTCAACGGATATCAGTCATTGTTTTGATACTTGTAATTTCCCGTTGCTATACAGGGCCGAATTGCTATCGTACCCCGGTGGCTTAGTGGATAACGCTCTAGCCATTTGGGTCATAAGTACTGAGTTCGAGTCTTGGTGGGGACAACATCACTCACTGCGGTACAGGGACATCCGGCTGATGAGTCCCAGATAGGACGAAGCGCACGCTCTGGATTCTGCTGCTAGTCGTCAAGATGAGTATAACATCATGGATATCCGGCAGGAGCGAGGCATCAGCATGGTAACCCATCTGTCAACAAAGAGAGACCGAGCAATTTGGCATCATATACCAATGGGAAATTACAAGTATCAAAAAACCATCAATATTATTTAAGACTAAACCCTAGGTATAGGTGTAGACAAGAAGGCAATAATGATAATGTTGGAAAATCACGAAAGAAAACAAGGGAACAGGTCAATGAAAGCATTATCCATAAAATTTGTCAAACAATTCAAACCAATCCTAAGCGAATTAATGGATTTTAGCTGTCATAAAATGACTTGAGATTCTTATTCCACTTGGTAACAAGTACTGATTCAATTAGTAACTAGATACGCGTAACAGATCGATTGTAAAACCTCAGTTAGTTGATTTATATTCTTTAACTTGGTCATTTGAAACTCACTAATTCAAACATACACACAGAGAATGCTTGGAAGGGTTTAGCGAACAGATCCCCGTAGTTCTTGAATGCGTTCTATTTTCAATTATGTCTTACAGATATAAACTATACAACAGACAGCACTATTGGGCGGTATTTACGTGATCCATGGTGGATATTTTGCTCTTCTCACCAACGCTGCAAATATAAATACTCAATAAGTTGACTGTAGTCATCTACAACACACTCTAAAAGTTAGTTATTCTGCTGTAAAGTTCCGATTACGTCTATATCAACCCTTACCACAGACAGACAAAATCGACGTAGAACTTCACATACAAAAGTACATCGGTTCAGTTTACCGCACTTCAGAGTAGTATAAAAAGAACAAGTGGATAGAAAAGACTGATATCAAAGCAAACAAAGGATGATTGGATGAGAGAAAAGTTAAAAATTCGAGTTAGAAGAAGACGTCAAAGAATGAATACATCTGCGCCATTATAACCGATTCTCAGCCACTTTAACAACCAATCGCTGATTCCTTTTGTCTCGACGACCTCTCCCCACACGACACAGACCAACAATCAGAGATTTAGTTGACTCGCGCCATGTCTTAGTTAGGCCACCTTGAACCCTCTTCTAACCTAATGCAACTTTTCGCATGGTACATCTAAGTAGGCGGTAGCTCGAGATACACAGCATATGTCAAAACCACCTAAGTTGATGAAGGTTTACAACCCTCACAACATGTTAAAACCAAACCATAAACTTGACTGTTGATGAAGCAAATCATAGTGGAACGTTAACATTAATAGATGAGATGAGTGTAGAACCAAATACAAGTTACAGAATATATATTCTTGGCAGACAATTTATAAAGCACCTATTAGTGCTCTTACATCACTTTGAAGAAACTACTGTTTTGAGGTATACTGCAGACAATATCAAGCTAACTAACAGTGCCAGAATTGTGGGCTGAAACTTTAGCTAACAGAATGAAACTTTAACTAAAACTTCAGCTAGATCCTAACCTAGCCTACTAACACACACACACACACACAGACATGTGTGTGTTATGTGAAAGACATTGTGAGCAGGGAAGCAGCTAAAATATGGTAAGTATAATAGATGCATGAGAAAACAGCATTGAAAAAGAACTAACAAGAAACATTTATGTACAATGGATACTGACCAGTAGACAATTCCTCCAAAACTTGATCCTGTAGTGAAATTAAACTGTCCACATCTAATTCTTTTACCTGATTTAAAAAAAGTTCAATAGTAAAAAACAAATTTTATCTTCTTTCGTAAAAAATATAGCTAAGGTTAATAAATATCATGAGATACATTAGTATATAACTGAAAACTTCAGAAGGACAAATGGATAAGACAACTAGTCGAAAAATAGGCCAATCAAAATTTATTTTGTGCTAGTTTCGACTTATCGACAGACTAGCAGAAAATTCATGAATTAAGAATTTCCTCCAAGCGTCTATTTTCTGTCCTCATTCACTGAGATTGTGATTATCGAGTCTATGTTTTAAAAGCCTGGTACGTTTCTATTTTTTTTTCGGTGTACTTTATCTGAATACATTTTTTTTCTACAGTTATATCTTCTCCATGAATTTAGCTGAGCTGGGAATCAACTAAGAAGGTTTATGGCTAATAATCGATATCTGTTCATCGTCAGCGGTTATAGAACAGTTTGTTGTATTCCTGGACAAATTACCGATAACAATAAAGTAGGAACCATAACAAGAAATTATTTGGACTACTACTTTAACTTTATCATATCATCAAGTCAAAACCTCTCAATCCTGCTACATCGATGTTGCAACGAAGAAAAGAATCTCTTTATCCAAGTAATATGGAGAAAAAAAGTAAAAATTTAAAATCTGGAGTCATCAGGTGTTCATGGTGAAACTTTAATTTTAAAAAATGCCATTTCAAATGTCAGACTTCACTAGGTTGCTGAATTTCATGAGCTACTTTTTTTATTTAAACAGGTGTTTGGCATAATGGTAGAAGCTTACAGGGTTAAATTGACCAACCCTTGTTAGGAAATCAGCCTCTTATTTAAGTTGTTATCAGTTTCGAAAAAGAAATGAACATTATAGATTCCCCTACTATCCATCGTCAAATAACAATGAGATATGATTAAGGATACTGCAGAGGCATCCACATAAGGAGGTGATATGTCGACAACAACTTATCAACTCGGTCTGGTAAGCTACGAATGGAATATTTAAAGCCCTAGCGTTTGAAACGAATGGCTCTAGGCTCAATTCTCAGTGCGAACAAAATTAATTACAGGAAGACAAGTACATCCAGCTGGCGAGTCCCAGGTAAGACGAAATGGGTGTCCTGGATTTCACAGCTAGCCACTATCCATCAATAATATCTAGTTAAAACTATGCATTGCTAATGAGACAGTCAGCTAAATGCTATTAGGTCTTGAGGCTAGGCTACACTTCAACAAGAAAGGGAGTAAATGAATAGTGAGATGTAAGGTGATTATCGATACAAAAAGGTTTCATAATGATATAACATCAATCGCTAATAAACATGTTTGAATGCCTGAACAGAAATGTCCAAGCTTCACCTCTGGCAATTCTTTGATTCCCAGAAAACGGAAGCAGTAAAACAATAGAAGGTCTATCACCACTTTCGATTATGTACAACGATATAATGGTATATTCAATTGGTAGTTTGTGAAGATCGATTGATTTCAAGGTAGTAATCGTCGGTGACTGGTGAAACAGTGAAAACATAGGCGTACTGAACAGTCCCAAACTACTTAATTCCAACTTCATTTGAACGGTTAAGTATTTTATATGACTGTTGTACAACAAGTGAGAGAAACATTGCCATCCACTTTTCATTACTAACAGTTTAATCACCTAACCTTTTAATGTTTAGCTCTAAATAACTTAGAATGGGATTAGTGGGGATGCACAAACAGTTTTAATAGTGAAATGTAAGCGTTGGGTAGTCAGAAACAGTACTCAGTGACTGGAGTGAACTAACATCATGGTTGGTGGATGGTGCATCTAATTATGACGTCATTGATAAACTCCAACGGTAAGTACCAAAGTGCTGACCATACATAGGTGACTCATATTTCAAACTTTTGATGTACTGAATATCACATTAGTTACAGGAAATATATTGGAGGCAAGTTTCACCAAGAAGTAAAATTTAACTTTTCTGCGATAATCAGCCAACCTCATTTCATAGCCTAAACAACTTTGAATTAGACTAGCTATCTTTAAAGTAAGAATGTGTGTGCTGGATAGATGAGCACTGAAATAATTGATCTCCCTATCTGACCTAAGTATATGAGTGAGATTTATTTCAAAATGTTGTTTGATTACTTTACACATCAATGCTGTTTTGCTTTTAAGCATTCCCTGAGAGACTGTATGTTTGGCACAATGTTTTCACATTATTTCAGTAGAAATCATGCCCATGATTGTGTGATGCTGTTTCCTTATACATAAAGAAATAGTCTTTCGCAGTATAATACGCTGTTCTCAGCTTGAATCATTGCCAAAAGTATCAAGATAGGACTAGGTATTACTGCGTAAAGGCCCAAGTTGCTATAACTCATAACAGTACAACAAGTAACAAAGTAGTTATATGATAAACGAACAAAAGATCAGTGGAAAGCAGTAAAAGAAAAGAAGAAATGAGAAATTGCTGAATTTAGTATAGCGGCTACAGTGAAGATAAAGTGTGGATACATCTGCGCTAGTGACATGGCTTCTGAGCCATATCACCTGTTGGTTCCCATTGGCATGTGGACCCCGACTGACTAATCTGTATCTCCCTACATGGCTCAAACTAACAGTCCAATATTTCATGCAGCGATGTCATGTTTTAGTCTGGTTGCCCCGAACTTTTTTCCATCCTGAACAAACTTTAGCCAACATTGTGCGACGAGGTAGACGGTGACTAAGTATGCGTAAAACATGTCCCAGCCATCTCAGTCGATAAAGGTTCACAACTCTACACCTGAATTCTGAGTTACTGGCAGCAGCTTGAATAGGTTTTGTTTGTACTGATGTGAAAATATTAAGCTACAAAGCACTTTTTGAAGTCAGATATCATCATAATTTCGAGAGTTCTATTATTCTACATAATATGTTATCAAACGTTATGGCTTCAGGAACTTGAAATTGTTTGACTAAGTTCAACAAAAATTTCAGCGTTTCAAAATAGGAACTAACATCGCCCAGTTGACTTACTGATTACCTTTTAGTCAGTTATTTGCGTACAGGTTCATATGTACTAGGCAATGAAGTGTATCTTTTGAGCAAAGACTATGATACCACTTAATGGTTCAAACTTTGATAAGAGTAGTAGAATCAGAAACGATAGGCAAGTGGTTGAAAACCAGGTGACCATTTAAATGAACCAACCACAGTTTCAGTTAAGTCACTGATCTAAAAATACATGACAATTATTTTAGAAGTTTAATGATCAAACCATATCATCTATGCACCAAGATAAACCCATCTAGTAGGAGTCAAATTCGAAATGGACTCAGCAACCTTGTGCACATTCATGCATTAAGAAATGAGGTACATCTATTGTGCGAGGGTTAATGATACTACCTGGTTGCCCAAACCTATGTAGATGGAGCGGTGTTCGAACCTGTAACTTATTGGTTGAAAGCCAACTCCTTAGGCCTATGAGCCATAGCCTTACACCCATCTAGTACAGTATAATTCTACTTATCGAATTCAGTGAATTTACTCAGTCTATAAGGACATTCATACAACACATTAAAAAAAAAACGAAAAATGAGAAAAATAGGTAAATAATGAAACTATGCAATCGATAAATAGGATGATAAACAAATACATACTTCACTACCTGCAACTAAACTCTTTAAGAGTTCACGTTTCTCTTGAAGAAGTATTTCGTCTGTTAAACTCTCTGGTTCCGAATTGTGAATATGACGTAGATGATCAACAAAGTTTCTTCGTTTCAATTTCATAGCCTCCATAAAACGCTTGTAAATAAATAACATAAGAAATAAATTAAAACATGAATACATGTATATGAAATAATCAAAATAAGTATGACAATTTTCATTTCAAATATAACACAACTTCATATTTATTCGTCACTGAAGAAGAAGCAATCAGTACCATATTCTCGAGTATGTAATATGGTCATCCAATAAATTTATCAGTGGAATCACTTCAACTGGTTTCAAATCTATGGAGAAAATTGATAAAAAGCTCTATATGACTGATCTACTTTTTGTGCTTGTTGAGAATCCTTAAAAAGACCAATCTGCAGCATCAATGGTACAGATAACTCTCTTAAAATATCTAAACATGTAACAAACAGTTATGCAGTGGGAAAAATTACTTCATATTAGTCTGTTTCTGCTTTTTCAGAGTAGAAGGAGTTTTTATGAAGTCACAAAATATCAAAAATTAATTTTTCTATCTCGTCGGAATTTTAAAAGTAAGTTTCATTGATAATTTATTTACCCAATGTTCAACTTATTTAACTCTATCAAGTCAGATTTTGATCTTGAAGTCTATAAAATCATTAAATTAAGCCATTTTGATTCACTTAGAAACGACTTCAACCGGCGTATCAGATCCCCTGCGAATTTCTTAACTTTGTTCATAATAGTATCCACTGGTTTTTTAGTTTTTTTTCATATGGTCCTGTTTATATACGTTCATTAACTATGCAGATGTAGTAAGCTTTTTTTTAGGACTGTAATACACACATTGGGCAGCCACTACATGAAAAGACAAAATAACATTAGTTACTCTATGGCGAATAGCTAAAGTATCTAGTTCAATCCTAAGGTCGATTGTGGTTAGAATGGGTCGAATGTAATGTTTCTGATTGTAGAAGTGAGAAGTATATCGGTTCCCTTAAAGTTACAGATAAGTAATGCTGAAGAGTCCCAACTAGAACAAAACTTATCTCATGCAAGGATTCCTGCCTATTCGCATCAAACAGACAGACGAAATCAAAGTAGAACCTTACACGGAAATGCATCGATTCAATTTGCCATATTTCACAGAAGCATGTAGACGACAAGTAAGTGGAGAAATAGTCACATTCAAGTCGAAAAGGAATTTAAGAGTAAAGGCTAGTAGGAATGTTAAAACTTTCGATTTACACTAGCCACCTGATATATATATCATAACACTTTAGCATTGACAAACAAACCGACGATGAATATTGAAAAGAATCTTCAAAATGCTACTGCTGACGAAACAACATCATGTGGTTATTCGATAGGATGGAAGCCATAAGGTTCTAGATAATCGTTGGATCTCATTTTGGAACCTACTGGTGATGTTAACAACATTTTTATGCCCTGAAAGTAAGACAACTGCCATCTTTTCAACGATCATATCAACATCTAAATCATTGATCTCGACAGCTACAAGTTAGAAGCTGTGATCTCAATGAATCGGTGATATCCTCAGCACTTGTGAAGTATCTGATTGTCTCTAGAACCTACAGCTTTTAACTACAGTTTACTACGAGTGCGTTTAACTCAGTTAGTGAATGGCCATTCAAAATGAGCTGAATAGGGTACACAAGATTTTCCTCACAGGTTGAAATGGCTGGATTTACAATACGACTGAAGTTGAAAATACTGGTCAATAGGAGTGAGATCAGCAAGTAGTCCCACCCTATTGTACCAAGTTCTTTAACAGACTTTTTACCTTTCAAAACACTTGATGGAAACCCTGAATTTAGTACATATTGAAATAATTTCATTCTTAATCTAGGTATACTAATTGGATTAACAGATTTACACCATATTGATGATGACTTCCACAAAACCCCACTAATGAACATTACTCAACATGAAGTCCGTTTAAGTGAGGCTTCTTGTATAACACCTTCAAGCATGCAAAACAAAAACATGACGTCCTCATACAGTTAAGTAGTAGTCTGACACTCAGAACTGAACAACAATGGATTAGTTACCGCGCTTTATGACCGTTCGAATTTTGTTTTCAACAGGCAATTCAACTAGCAATGTTAGTTTGCAGTATAGACAACCACTTTCGAATACCGCTTTTTTTCTAACATGTTTCGAGAGTTGAACGAAAGCAACTTGATGATAATCCAGTGTTTACACGAGTTTTGACCATAGGAAGTGTTTTTGAATTATTGATGAAAGAGGAAATTGATGAAGTAAATTAAATGGAAATCTTATGAAATAATAATCATGTCAATAATGCAACCCAAGAAATGTTTATTAACTAGGCTATGAAACACTTTTGTGGAAGAGCCTATATCACCCGGTTGCCCAGGTTAAAGTAGGTGGAATGGGACTCATTGCTTGAAAGTTGAATCCTTAGGCCAGTGAGCCACATCTCCGCATCTGAGATGAGCCAAATCAATTAAAAGGATATAAGATCGTAAGGAATCGATAAAGTGAAACGTTTTATCTTAAAACGTATTACGAAAGGTTTACTGTTAGCTGAAAGTTCTTAGCTACCCTAAGGGAAGAACTTCCTATTGAAGGAAGTATACCGTTTAAGAATGAACTTCAAAAGTACTTACTTCCTTACAAAGAAGTCTCAATTGTACGTCGTAAAGGGCAGACAATAGAACTGTAGATTTTATCGAAGAAAATACAGGAGATGAGGATATCTCTGGAAGGTGATGATCAGCAGAGATGATGAAGAAAACACGAACTTCTGGGACATAACTTTAATTTTTCCATGTACTAGTTCTTTTTTTCATGTAATTCCAGTTTGCTTAACATAGGCTTTTCAGAAACCTATCAACTATGTTATTCAGGGTTAGCCTACACAAGAAATGCAAACACTGAAAAAAATATAAAAAACAATATTCTAGGTCTTGATTGGACACATCACAGGCTCCACATATATCAATTTAAAATCTGAGTAATAAATATAGACTCACACTTTAAACATAACTCCTACTTACTTTATGCAATAGATCTTTCCATTCATCAGCTTTGTGTCGAACATGTTTTGCATAAAATTCTTGATGTCTGTCCATATTTGACTGGAATGGATCTTACCGAGTTAGTCAAGATGTCGTTCCTCCTTTGATGAACATAAAAAAATTGGATTATAAAACAGTGAAATAGATTCAAAATAGATTACAAAGAATGATGATAGACAAAACCGCCTTCAAAAATGACGTTTACCCGTAACAACTTAAAAACTACTACTTCAAGTTTTGACTGACTTCTTTTTCAATAAAAAAAACTCACTCATCAATATTAGATTTGTGAGCTTAAATACTACTTATCTGTGGTAAATATTGACAAAGAAAGATAACTCAGTGAGGAAATATGCACCTTCGTATACTAGGCTAGTAGCTACATCTATTGTAAGAGGGTTGATTATATCAACTGATCTCCGAACCTCGGCAGGTATGAATTGGATTCGAACTGATTTGAAGTCAAGTACTTAAAATCAATGAGCTACAGCTGACGTAAAAAGCATCCATGTACAGTATATGGCAACATGAAAAACTTGAGGAACATTAATCTTGATTGGCAGGAGACTAAACTGAGACGAAACCTGGCTGAGTGACAGAAGATAGCAATTCTTTAAGTTCAAGCTAACCTCTATTTGTATAACACTTGGGAGAATAGTCCTAAGGACTAGGAAAATGCAGCCGCGGTGATATTTCTACCAAATAGTATGTTAGTCTACTTCTCCTCAGTGGTCAAACTATGTAAAAGTGCAATTGGTGTAAATTTGTATACAGGTGTATGAGTAGATTATTTCTGTATTGGTTTTTCCACTTCAAATTCTAGAACCTTATAATTCTGCCAACATGACTGAAGAGAAGACACTTTCTAACACAGATTCTGCGCTATACGAAGGCATTCTGACCTTTAGATGCATTCGCAATTACGGTATAAGTAATTACGATCACATCAAACAATATATAACCGCTGTATGTTACGCTTCTCCGGAGAAAACTACTTCAAAAGAAAATGCTAATAGTATTATCCAGATGACCTCGAGAAATATTCTTTCTCTCTCTTCACTGTGAAGTTAATTTCCTTTTTGGTACATGATTTCCTTTATTTTGTAACCGACAGTTATGATTCACAAGCCTAATAACAGTTTGGAGACCAAGTGAAGCTGAAACTCCCATTTCTATCGTTTTGTATGTATAATTTGTAGTTTTATCAAGCAAGTTTTCTTATCGACTAAACTTGGCGATACAATATTCTTGACTTGGTGACGTTCCGAGTAATTATGTAGTACTGTATCACTATACGCTATATCAAACAACCCTAACATGGAAGTTCTACCATTAGATATATTAGTATGATTATTTGTCTCTTGGGTTCCTAGTGGAACATAGGGCTTCAGTAGCACATCACTATCTCTTCTCTGCAATCTTTTGAACCTCGCTCCACGACTCCCCAGAAGCTCTCATTTCTTCCTCACACCATCTCCTCCATGTTACCGTCGGACGCCCAACTCGTAGGTTCCCATCGGGGTTCCACTCCAGCACCTGGCCTGGAGCGTGATGTCCCCAGTCAGTCTTCTCAGTGTATGCCTCAATTCAATCCATCTCCACTTCCTTCTGCATATTTGTTCAGCGATAGGTTGTTGGTTGGTTCGTTGCCAGACAGCCAGAGTTCCTTGTTGCTTATTATTTCTGGCCATCCATATGATCTTTAGTAACGAGCGTAGGCAGTTGTTGATATCTGCAGTTTGTTGGAAACGCCTTTCGTGACGCGCCAAGTCTCTGAACCATCACATGGAAGCGCTGACTTGACTGAATTGGTGTTGAAAATCCGAATCTTGTTCTTTATGCTGAGTGCAGATCTCCACACTGGTCTCAGGTTAATGAGCGTCTCTGTTGCTGCACTGGTCTGTCAGATTTGAGTCATTCAGTATCTTCGACACACGAAACATGACAATCTACATCAATGGCTACAGCTGGATTTCAATCCCTACCATGGGTATAAATCGAGTAATAGTAATAATAATGATAACCGAGTAGTGTAAAAGACATCTCGATGTAACATTTTCAATACGGTCAGCAGAATGGTTCCAGATAACAGGTTGGCAAATCCTATTCACTAACCGCAATCAGTCTGTAAGCGTTCATTTTAAATCTTATTCTTCTTGAAATAATGGAAACAATTCGTAGTTCAGGATGTCGATAATCTGACAATGTATGAACTTTGATACTTTGTTGTGGACGTTTTATCACTATAATCAATCTTTTTCAGACTGATTCATTAAGCTATAACTACGTTTGTATAATATAACGGATAGAAGATCATTAACTTCCAACACCATCAAACAAATAATATTGTTTATCATTTTGACTATCTGCGATAGCCGCGGCTTGGCAGACAAGTATTTATACTGGGTGATGATTGAAGGTGAAATGAAAATTCGGACCTGACTAGGCAGCCAGTAGGAATATGATCAGGTGGTAGTAACGCGTCACGAATCCGCTTGGCAGTCGGGCAAAACCCTTGGTGATTGAAGTGAAATAAAAATTTGGTCAGAGGTCGGACCTCGTATCTCAGTTGGTAGTGCATCGGGTCGGAAACTCGGTGGTCGCTGGTTCGGATCCGGTTGCGGTCCAAATTTCCACTTTACCTTCAATCATCACCCAGCATAAATAATATTATCTTCTCCCTGAGACTGAAGATTTTATTGCTCTAAAATGTCTGGCAACTTGTGAAGTGTACATCGGATAATGAACAGCTAGTTTGCTCTTCAGTGTTACGATTTTGAAGTATTCTACAATCACATGCTGAAGAAACAAAATACTACGCGAATGAAAGGAATACATGAAATGCTGTTAGGGTTGTGCAACCCTCAGGAACATCTAATTCACAAGGTAAATTAACACAGGAAAACACGAAAAGTTCATATTCTCAAGTATTTCGAAGCAAACCACAAGTATGTATCACCAATGTTTTGTGATTGTTGGGATTTATTAATAGAAAGTGTATGCTAAGTTGAAAGAATAGATTTTCTTATATTGACTGGTCACTGGAGATAAACCAATTTCGTGTTGTCTAGTCTTCAGTGCTGACTGAATTCGTCAAACTAAGCTAGGGGACTCACCATCTCGCTGCACTGTAATAGATGTTAGTTGGATGGAGGAGATAAGCAGAAAGCCCCTGGATCTAACTTTTGTCCACATTGACACTTGACAGCAAGGCATGTCTGCAACCCTGACGGAAGTGATGTCTCTGATGAGGTTAGAACCAACGTCACTCAGTTCTGCAGTCATTCAGTGTTCCAGGTCTTCCTGCCGTTTCATTCCATTCAACCAAAGAAATTTTCTGTTGGAATTATAAACCGTACTAACTCAGGTAGTGAAATCACTGAGGTCCACCTAACTCACCTTATTTCTTTGATCCCCAATCCATAATGGCAGTTTTTTATAATTTGTGAATTTTTAGGGATGACTAGTTTTTTTTATGGAATAAGAACTACCTTTAAACTAAGCCACTCAAAAAAAGAACTATATAACAACCCTTCGACGCTCGTGAATGGGTCAAAAGAAGTTATTGGCATTCAACACCACACAATCACCAAAGTGAGACGGCAGTAGCTCAGAGGTCTTTATCTTGGTTGAAAGTTCGACAAAAACTTATTCTTAAAGTAGCTGAAAAGACGAAATAATAAAAACTTGCAAACAGAAATCAAGAAAGTTTGAAAATGAACTTTAGTTTACGGATTGCTTTCAGACATTATCAACATAGGACCTGCCATCATTGATTAACATACCTTACCTCATATACGCATACACGATAAAAAGTAACAAGATAAGACGATACAGAGAAAGTAAAACGTTACAAAGCTATAAGATGAGGAGAGAAAATAAAGAGAATGAAGGTATCTAGGATTAAAAGTTAGACGAAGACAATATCTAAATGCATCTGCACTTTTGCGATCACCTAAAGTCAATCAGTTAGTAAAAATCAAAATCAAACGAGATACTACTACGTTACGCCCCAACTTGTCACACATGACACCAAGATAAAAAGTAGTGAGATGAAAAATAAAGAAAAGGATACAATATTATCAAGCCATAGAAAGCCACATGATAGGAGAGAAAGAGAGAATAATGAAATGTGATACGAGAGTTAGGACGAAGATAATGCGTGGATGCATCTCGCATTACTATGTTCAATTCTACGCCATATCACTTGAAGTCTTCAACCACCGACTTCGATTTCCACATAAACTCCAAATTAGAAGCACACACTTCCCTAAACAGCTCAAACTGACAGTCATACACTTTATGAACTGACGTCGTTTTCTAGTCTGGTTAACCTTAACTTGCTTCCACCCAAACTTAACCAAGTAAGTGTGAATAGATGACTCATCATGTGTAACGTACGTCCAAAGCAACTAAATAGATGAAAGTTTACAATTTCATCAACTGAGTTACCTTATGTACCTCAAACTGTACAAATGATCACTATGAAGCTTACTTGGTGGCACTGTGACATGCGGCTGATACCATAAAGGTAACGGTAAATAGATATCAGAGGCATGTTCACATATTGTACCCTCTGAAGACTATGTTTCATAGACATAATAGGACACAGCAAACTGTGGGTCACTGGCTAAGGGAGGTGACTTTCAGTCAATAGGCCGCGGATTCGAACCCCACTGTACCCACCGACGTTCAGCAGCCAGGGAGAATCGTCAGCCCTTACACAGTGGGTGCGGTTCAATGCATACTGTACGGATGTGAACGAGGTTACTGAAGAGATTTCGATTTGAGAGCAAACTGCTGCGCAATACACTTGTCCCCTCTTAGATAATCAGACATCTCAAATCTCAGTTCAATTTGTTAAATGATAGTTCAATCTTTTGTATGCATGTCGAACTCTCACTGGCCACCAACCTTCCAAACTTGATCTAACTTCCCAGTTTGGTGAAATGGTCAACACAATGAACAACCATACTCCAGGGAGATTGTTCAGGAAACATCGGTTGGTGAGAATGGCCTTATTCTATCAGTAAACACAAGGAGAACTTTTGAAACACATAAATCACTAACAAAATAACTTCTTAAACTCTTAGTGATGCTTATTAAATCATATGCAGAAACAAATCTAGTGTTTTCTCGTTGGTCAGATTACCGATGTTCACCAGTGGAATATATCAAAGGAATAACCGTTGCTGTGCTATAACATACATATAAGCAAGTACGCTGAACATGTAAACAGAGCGAAACCGAAAATTTTATACTTATGAAAATAAAGTTTATTTACAAAAACCGACTTCACATTTGATGCATTGTACATACAAGCAAAAAATAAAGAGATGAGAGAAAGAAGAAGTCATGAAAGCGTATGCATCACCGACCAATGGATCTAACCAAACAAGTCGCCGACTGTTGGTAATGGATCTAAACCGAAATTTGTCATATCAGGTAGGAGATGTAAGTCGGGGAGATTTAAGATGTGTTTATTCAATTCATTCTTTAACGACTGACCATGCTCTAATTTAATTTTCAAATCCTGTGGAAGTCATAAGCAAAAGAAAGAAAGAGAACTGACATGAATAGTATGTATGTAGTACAATAAACATAAAATGCAGAAGTCGATAAACAACTGCGTTGTGGAGCCTAAAAGATAATTTTGATATTTGTGATAGTCTGTGTAATTTAAATAAAATGACTTAACTCCTATTCAACTATTGTGTGACATTGCTTCTACAATACAGTATACATAAACCAAATGATGCTGAGCCGGTGACTACTACAAATAGCGAAGAAAAAATGGCAGTAGAGTTAGGGCAATCCAGCAGTTGATTGACATCGACGAAAGTAACGTCAAACTACGAACACAGGTTCATCGGCTCGAGTTCCCACAATTTACAACAGTACACAAGAAACAGGTGGATAGAAAAAGAATTATACCAAAGTAGACACACAGTAGTGTGAGAAAATTAACAATCTAAAGAGGAAAACTAGTGAGAATATTCAAGCTTTAGATGTCAAGCAGGGAATACATCTATGCCATTGTGACCGATTTCCAGCCATTTATTTCACCAACAATCACTCCTCAACAACACCAGTGACTCCTTTCGTCTCGCCAACCCCAACCACACAGTCTACAAATACACACTCACCTCACACAAACAATAAGAAACTTCATCGATTACTGCAACGTCTTGCTCTGACCATCACCCTAAACACTTACAACCTACTACAAATTCCCCTAAAATCGCACGTCCAGGTAGCCAGCACGTGGCTCCACATACTCAGTACATGTCCATCCAAACCATCTCAGTCGATGAAGGTTCACAACCCCATCACAATCGACTTACCTGTGTCTTGCCTCGTACTCTTCGCCTAACCTCAACATTACTCATACAATGATTCCACCTAACGCGAGCAATCCTACGAAGACATCCGTGGTCAAAACACTGTAGTCGCCTCATGTCTCCTAACTTTAATGACCATGTCTCAACCACATGACAGAACAGAATGGACTGCACTGTAGGATACTCATCCTTGGATAGGTAGTCGGATACCTTTCTAGTCGGTCCCACAGATCACGTCAGTTGGCAAATTCCAAACGGGCCTTCCATATCTGAGATGAGATTTCGTCAGCAATCACTCCGTTCAGTGGGCTCATGCAACTCACCAACAAAGTGAAGTGGTCGACATATTCCACTAATAATTCACAATGTCATTAAACTGGGAGCGGTTGCAGCAGACCAGTCATGGAGCATCATCTTACAGGTGCTTGACAGGTCCCAGCGAAACGCATTCCAACTGAATATATTCATAGTTCTGCTCAACGTGTCCAGAACACCCTGTATTGCGTCAGCGTCTTCATTCACCAGAAAAATATTGTCTGCATACTTCAAGTCAACCAGACGACTTCCAGGGAGTAGATGAGTCCCTGCAAAGTCAGACGTACCTTAGCTTGCGTCTATTGGTACGTCTACGACGACGTTAAATAAGAATGGTAACAGTGGACATCTTTGGTGAACACCACCAGTTATCGTGAATTCTGACGACAAGTCTCCGTAAGCTCTGACAGGGGTGCGTTCAACTGAGAAGCTACATACAGTTTACTGTGTTGAGTTATGAGAGATATTTATGTGAAGGTTAGTGATACTATCCAGTTACCTAAATTGAAACACAAACGTAGAGACTACTAAATTTATAGGAATCCTAAAGTAGGGTCAATAAAGATCTATTAAACAATCGTTGATTATTTTCATTTGCTTTTAACTTTATAATGGTTTGTGACGAAAATGCACCTTTAAATTAGCTGGAAGGTTACAATTTATCTACCTGCAGTTAAGTATGTGGTAAGGGTTAGGCACTGATTTAAGTAATCATATCCAGGTCGATCCATGAACTTTATGATTCACTATTAATCTTTTTGTAGTCGTCTAATCTAGTCTTGGCCACTTTATCACCATATTATTATTCATCTTATCCTGCGATACACTGAATCGACACTGATATAGTGGGTAGTGAACAGAGTTTTGAGCTACAGATGCATCAATCAACATCGACTGCGATGATTGGTATAAAAAGTGCTCATATGTAGTCATTCTTTACTTCAGTATTGGATGTTGCATGAAACAGAAATGCATCAGAAGCCTAGTGGTGATAGTACCTGAAAAACAGTGTAGTGTGTGCTATTTATAACAACACATAAAAATAGAATGCAGATATTATTTACGTAGAGCGCATCGAACCCAACGCTATAACACGTTTTAATAAACAATTTCACCAGTTTTCATTAGTCTTACTCCTATGTTAGTACTAATTCACGACATCTGACTGTATACGATTGCTACTTCAAAGTCACTGAAAATCCTAGATTGACTTGTTAGAAACCAATGTAAGGACCTTCATACATTTGTCTTCCTTTTTTACGAACAATTTATTTGAGTCTTTTCATTGTTAATCCCTTCTTCATCTTTATTTTGAGTTTGAGCTCCTCTTTATCCTATAGCATTGTGGCTGGAATACATGTAACTTTCAAACTGGGTCTAATCAGACAGTTGTACTACCATTCAGTTCTTTGTAGAGTGTATCTACCCACACAAATACCATCACATACTTTACTTCTGAAAACGGGTTACGCATCCTTACTAGGATACTTTGTGAATTTAATATGCTAGATGGGAAGTATCTTTTGAAGTTATCCTTACGAATTTTATGAGTACTTTTGTTTTCTTTATGCACTGACGTGATTACCCACCCACCCACAAACAAGACATTAATACGCAGTTGGTGAAGCTGTGAAAACAATGGATACGTTATCGCCACAAATAATGAACGGGAACAGGAATGTACTCATCAAACTTGTACACACTTGTGCAGTAGGCAATGAGCCACCCCAATTGTGTGAGGGCTAGAGATACTACTTGGATGCCCAAACCTCGATAGATGGAGCGGGGTTTAAACCCGTGACTCAGTAGTTGAAAGCCAACTACCTAATCCAATGAGCCACAGCTCCACAAAGACTGAAGCCTATAACCGTAGACATTTTTAAAGAAAACTATATTACTTAAACAAGAATTTACAGAATTAGCAAACTCTATCTACAAACCAGCCGAAACACCCCTGTAAATAATAATTTTACGTAACTTAGTGGGTCTATATGGCAGTGAATAAACCACAAGTGTTACGTGAAGTTTGTAATGCTACATCACTGTTTATGTCTCAGTATGTAGGATGAAGTTTAAGCCTCTGATTGAGTGGTTTCAAGTCAACCACATATCCCTAGTGAACGAAATTAAAAAACAGAATATATTGGGATGAAAAACCGTTTTGTGCTCCTTCTAAATTATGATGATAAGACCAAAAAGAGCAGTTTAACAATTTATAACAACAGAACTTACATCAAGTTCTGACTTGGCCTGAATAATTCTTTCTTTTAAATGACTATGAAAGGCACGAAGTTGAAGGGCTAACTGATTTCTTTTAGTAGTTTCTTCTTCTAACAGTTGATTGTAATCGTCTAGTCGACAGGAGCATTTACCGATACGTTCAATCAATTCTTGTTGTTCTTGTTCAGAGGCTGTAATACGGATGAAGATGGATAACTATACACTAATTTGAACTAATTACGTTTAACGCAAATGAGCTAACAAGAGATTACCCAGTTAAGCAAGACATAAGTAAAGTAATTTTACAACATTATCAGTTATTTGAGTATCAAGAGAATGAAATCTAATACCGGAATCTATACTGGTCACATGTGAGTCGTCATATTTCGGACTTAATAAATCGTCGTATCTGTCTTCAAAAGCAGTCGAAAATTACCCTGAAACCTGGTCTTTTGTTGATCAATCATAGTCTAGAATTCACATTAATTTCTCTGTGTCAGTACAACAGATTTTATCATTCGGTTCTAATAAGTGCAAAAACTAAATATTTTGGGAAAAAAGAAACGCACTCGGCCACCTTGTGCAGATACGTGAAGTAGGTAATTAACCATACCCATTGTGTGAGGTCTAGTGATACTACCTGGCTTCCCAAACCTCAGTAGGTGGGCGGGGTTAGAACCCGTGGTCCAATGGTTGATAGTCATCTCCCTAAATCACTAAGCCTAATGTTTCAAATGATCACTTCCAAATCATAGCTCAGCTTATCGTGGATTTCCGAAGTTGCAAACGCTATTCAGTAAATATGAACTCTTGTTTGCATTCAAAAGGGCAGGTTACAGTGATCTGTCAATGCTTTCAAAAGATTGTCACTTAAGACGAGAAGGCTACGATTCCATACCGGATAACATACAATAATCACCATTCATTTGTATAGCAACCTCCCAATGATGCTATGTCGTTGGTGTTTATGTGGAACGCAAAGTATTAACACCACATGACGTCATTTTGTCAAAACGATAGAAAATAGCACAGAAAGTAGTTTTGCAGTTTCAGTTCACATGTGAATATACACAAAAGAACAGCAAATGAACTGAAGCAGAGACGGCAGCACGTCAAGATAGTGCACATAACACACAAGGCACAAGAAATAAATCCTTTAGAGATAAGATATTGCTATGAAAAGGAGTAGTCCAATAAACGAAATCAAATCTAAATATATTGGTAGCAAAGAGAAGTGATTCACCGGAAGAACAAAGGGGCAAAATAACTACTATTTTGGTGGTTGTCAAACATCAGAAGACTATCAACAATACGACTTTAAACTATTTGAGAAAATTTAAATAAAGCGAGAATAACGGCTTTAGCAGAATAGCACGAATCCAGTTTATTTATTTCGAGGTTTCCCATCAACTCCTTACGGCCCAAAACAACTTTAACACAACAATCTACATAAGTGTTTTCATATTTGAATCAGTTTGGTAGAAAATTGTCAGTTGGAATAAAAGATAATATCGATATGAGGTAATTGAAAATATACGGATCGAGTGAATAAACATGCAGAAATAAGTTTACCGATAAGCACAAAAATGTACCGACTAAAACCGTAAGGTGTGATATAGTCGAGAAGAAGCTTGTTCTCCTAAACCTTGGTTTCAAAAGTGATGTTTTCGGTGGAATGAATGTTGCCTTAAAAAGGACTTATCTAGATGCTAGGTTAATCAAGCTCTACCGAACGAATTGTTCACTGGGACAATCAAAGGTTGACAAGTCCTCTCTTCATATTACCTCTAACTGCATATAACAATTCACATGTACATGATAAAGCACATACATTGGGCGAACAGAAAGAAATTTTTGTGACAGCATGTTTAAGCATATTCCAAAGAATTCCCGACTAAGCGGTGGAAAAGTCTTCAATAGAGCTATTGCTCATTATCTTATTGATAGTGGTCATGAAGTTGATACTCAGGAATCGTTCAAAATAATTAATAAACGGATGAATTCGAATTCATTGCGTTTCGCTGAAATGTAACCTATTCAATGGTTAAAACTGAACTTATGTGTTCAGCCTGTACCTACCATAGTAAAGACTTTTGTTTTGTTGACAATCATCATACAAATTGGGGTCCTTTGTTGTTATTTTATATTTTACACCTTAGACCTAATTATCCAAATTCTACTCATATTAGCTCTTAATTAACACAAATCTTATTACCTTTCACACATTTAGTGTAACTTTTCTTGATATATTGAATACATTTATCTCCCACTCATCCAACTTCCTTTCTGGGGTATAATTTTTCTATATATTAGCAAACTTAATTCTGCATATTTATTCACTCAATTCTCGTTTTTTCAACTACTTGATATCGTAGGAAAAGACAAAATGCGGTTGCAGCACAGAAAAGTTTCCTTTTTGACGAAGTTATTTGCTAAGTTGTACATTCATGAATGTATGCTACAGTGGATAGAACGTTCCAGAATTATTTCCGGTTAGGGGGCAAAATAACCAAAAGAATTTAAGTAATACACATTTGGGTTTAGAGTGAGAAAATAAACAAGGGATTATGAAAATACATGTATAGTCATACGATGAATCGATGATCATGGTCAGAATGTTCATTTCACCTTTAGTCATCATCACCCAGAATCTATGACAGTCAGGGCCATGGCAAAGATAAAAGTTGGATATACCTTTTTGGACACATAATGCTGGTTTGAACTTCTGAATGGCTAGTGCTTCAGCTATAGCCAAATGCCCTGATCTTACTCCCTTCGAGTGGTTTGATCGAACCTTGTAGAAGATTTTGAATAAGTTCCCAAAAGAAGCTAACTGGTCTGAATTCACAAGGGTGTTCTGTTATTGAACTGAAAATACATTTCCGTTCTCCTTTTGCCAGCTAGGCTGCGTAGTGGTCGTGCGCACGTTTTACAAGCGGACGATGCATGGTACTTCATATCGTTATTATCCTTAATTCAACCTGACAATTTTCTATCAAACTGATTCAAGTATGCAAACACTTATGTAAATTGATGTGTTAAAATTGTTCAAGGTTGTACGCAGTTGATGAGAAACCATGAAATAAACTGGATTCATGCTATTCTGCTAAAGCTGTCGTTCTCGCACTACTTAAATTTGTGAAGGGAAAGAATTGTATGAAATATTCCAGAAAAGATGGTATGTTGATCATTTTTAAGGAAGGAAGGTGTTTAGAAATTCTCTCAAAATTTCCTTGTAACTCAGTTTATTGAAGATGAACCTTTTATCATATTTATGCAATATGTCTTTCTCGCTTTGTTTTAATCCTATTTGCTTATTAGCTAATACCAATTCTAATTAGTTGCTGTTTCACTGGACGCAACCTACTTAATGCATCCGCAGGTGATTGTTGTAACCAGGCTTTGGCTTTCTTGATACAATAAAAGCCCTCAGTAAACACACCTGTCTTTTCCTGAGTTGATTGGCAAGTTTTCGAGTGGTGATACAAGGCTGTTGATTTTATCAAGTATTCATGGATTGAACCATAGCTTGGGAAAAGGAGTCATATGAGAACATTTTTAAAACAACAGGATAAGCCAATATGTCGCATGAATTCATTTGAAAGAACCGGTTATCCTTCACTACAACTCTGAAGTGATTTTAAAATCAAAAAATTTTTTTACCACGAAGCTTAATCGATAAATCATTCAAATCAATCGTATTTTAGTGACTCCTCTACAATCATCTAAGAAGTAAAGCAGTTTGTATAGGACCGATGTTGCTTCAAAACTTGAAATCAAATGGTCGATGGAGCCTGTCGAGTATAAGTTGAATCAAACTGAACTATTCGCACGCCAGCATGCAGGTAATAAACGCAAACAATGAGACTTACAGGATTTAATAATTTCAACTGCTTTATTTGCATCGGAAACCTCCGGTGGGAACTGAGCTATTTCACGACGTGTAGCAGCGTCGGCGGAAGCAGCTGATTGCAGAGTTTCTAGAAGTTGAATAAGTTCTTCAACCTTAAGGGGAAAGTCGAACGAAACACGTAGTCATTAGGTAAATGAAGATATAGGTCAGTTACTTACAGAATGTCTAACCAGAAAAACATATTTAAAACGATGGAATAAATTTTAAAAAGACTCAGAAAAATTACAAAACGTAATATTTCTGTCATTTAGAACTTAGTTGTTTAAGGCGAAATTTTATTCAACATAAAAGAATTTGATATAAAATGACAGGATGCCCTTGAGAAGAGGTGAACCGCTAACTTTGTGGTCTTTATTAGATGTCAGACAGATACACCGAACAACAGACTGAAAAATGTTGTACTTAAGAAAATGGTGCGCTGAATTAAGCTGTCATACGTTTGAACACTACACGGGGTAAATCGTTTGACAATAACTGGCTATATCTTTTGACCATATAACAACAAAAAGGGATATCTGATGACAAAGCAGCTGTTTCATCATTGATGAATATTAATGGATGTTTGCCTAACCATACTCAAATTTGATGACAACGGATAACCTTATTAGGTGTTTAGGTTATGAAGATACAAAATATCCAACCTTTAAGATTTCGATGTTGGTACTAACACTACACGAAGAAAAAATGGTGCAAGTGTTACTTTTGATAGTGTTAATTCGGTATTAATAATGAATGAAATAATAAAAAAGGTATTAATTCCAAGTAACTGCAACTCAAATCAAACATAAACCATATTTCATTTTTTGTGATCAGTCGAGTTACAAGAATTTTCGGTTGTGAAGCACAAAAGTGTGACCACAAAAGAGTTATAAAGATACATATATGCTTGATAGTGATTGGTAGACAGATAAGTGGATAGATTAACTTGGAACCTTGTATGTAATTGTACCAATATAAGTTAATAAAATTCACAATAAGGCAGGAAAGGGGAGTTAAGTAGAAACATAGTGATATCGAAATGAATGGGAAGATAAATGATATGAAATGGAATAAATTCCCGAAGGCCAACAAAACGTTCAACTTTGTGGAGAAAGTGAAAACTGAATACACCCAGGCTATCATGATTGGTCTTGAGTCGTACCATGAGAATCTTCAAAAATTGACACCTAACAACGAAGAGAGGCTAACCAAACAATTTGCACTCCTCTAATACGCTTCAGAATAATTATTACAAATTTCATGAATTGGTAGCATGTTTTGGTTTCAACTGAAAAAATTAACGAAGAAACTCGCACACAAGTGCATCGGGTGAAGTTCCCACACTTCACAGAAGTATAACCCTAACACGTGGACATAAAAAAGGTGGTATCAAACTAGACACAGTAGTGTGAGAAAATTAACAATCTAAAGAGGAAAACTAGTGAGAATATTCAAGCTTTAGATGTCAAGCAGGGAATACATCTATGCCATTGTGACCGATTTCCAGCCATTTATTTCACCAACAATCACTCCTCAACAACACCAGTGACTCCTTTCGTCTCGCCAACCCCAACCACACAGTCTACAAATACACACTCACCTCACACAAACAATAAGAAACTTCATCGATTACTGCAACGTCTTGCTCTGACCATCACCCTAAACACTTACAACCTACTACAAATTCCCCTAAAATCGCACGTCCAGGTAGCCAGCACGTGGCTCCACATGCTCAGTACATGTCCATCCAAACCATCTCAGTCGATGAAGGTTCACAACCCCATCACAATCGACTTACCTGTGTCTTGCCTCGTACTCTTCGCCTAACCTCAACATTACTCATACAATGATTCCACCTAACGCGAGCAATCCCACGAAGACATCCGTGGTCAAAACCCTGTAGTCGCCTCATGTCTCCTAACTTTAATGACCATGTCTCAACCACATGACAGAACAGAATGGACTGCACTGTAGGATACTCATCCTTGGATAGGTAGTCGGATACCTTTCTAGTCGGTCCCACAGATCACGTCAGTTGGCAAATTCCAAACGGGCCTTCCATATCTGAGATGAGATTTCGTCAACAACCACTCCGTTGAGTGGGCTCATGCAACTCACCAACAAAGTGAAGTGGTTGACACATTCCACTAATAATTCACTATGTCATTAAACTGGGAGCGGTTGCAGCAGACCAGTCATGGAGCATCATCTTACAGGTGCTTGACAGGTCCCAGCGAAACGCATTCCCACTGAATATATTCAGAGTCCTGCTCAATGTGTCTATTAGTAACGTCTACGACGAAGTTAAATAGGAACGGTGACAGTGGACATCTCCGGCAAACACTACCAGTTATCGTGAATTCTGACGACAAGTTTTTATAAGCCCTGACACGGTTGTGCGAATTCGAGTAGGAAGCCTTTATTAGCCTCATATACTTGCTCGGTACTCCCTTCACAGTCAGCCACAGTAACTCATGGTCAACAGTGTCGAAAGCCAACTTCACGTCAAGAAATATGGTAAATGTCGGCCACTGGCCGGTAGTTACGCCTGTCCCAGAACCTGTTGAATGGTGAAAATATGGTCGATAAACCCTTGTCCAAGTGTGTCTGAAATCTGTCTGATTTCCTTGAGTTCGCTGTTCTCGAGCTCCAGTTAGGAACCGGATAACTATCAACTCTAGGATCTTGAACATAATATGTTGGTGAAACTAATTAGACTATGGTTGTCACAAGAAGATTCCTCCTTTTTATGGACTGGAATAATCAGTGAAGAACACCAGTCTGACCACCCTGAACCCTTTCTCTAATCTAACCCTACTAAGGCTAGCGTTGTATGTCGATGTAGGTTGTAGCTCCAAGTGTGAAATACCTGTTCAAACCAGCGGAGTTAGTGAAGGTGCAAAACTTCATCCATGGAATACTGTTTCTTGCTAAGACTTTATATTTAACCTCAACAATGCAGAAATGGTAGTTCAACAACTCAGTGAATGTTGTGCAAGCAAACTCTTCTGATCAGATACATGGAACCTCTTTATATCTTCTGCCTTCATCAACCATGTTTCATAACTGTAAAGGTGAACAGAGAAAGCTATTGTCCAGTAAACACTTTATTGTAGGTAATAGGTTATCTCACCAGTGCGGAGGATGATAAGCCGTACCATCAGAAGGGAAATAATAACCTCAGATAAGTATGACTGATCACACTATCTTTTTTCATTTCAAAAAGATGTATTACCTAAAACTTATTCTAAAGCATTACTGTGTACCTCAACTCGAGGAATTTGTATTGACCCCTCCCACTCATTTGCGTATAAACTATCGTTCCAAAATAAATGTATGTTAAATGAAATCAATTATTGTGCATAATCCCGCTTTTCCATCTTTTTTGTATCATAGTACATTGTGAGCATATCATTCAGTTTTACACATGCATGATGCAAATGATAAATAACGGCAAGGACAGTGAACACCAGGCCGTATTTTTTCTGTATGGAGGCTGGGTGAGGACAAATCACGTTACTAATCCGTCGGCGAACCGACTATACGATACGTTGCAATTATATGAGTAATTAATCATATGCACAGTTGGTTTGATGAGCGAATTGGGAAATCACGTGATCACTATACAGTTATAATATGATCCTAGTAGTAAATGCCTAAATAGTTCTTTTGCAACCCTCTTGAGGTTCCGTTCGCAACAGGGGAGATGTAACTGGAAATACACATACTCGCCTGCTTGGATTTTTGTGGGCGAAATAACGAGATATATATACATACCTTTGGAGGTTGAGTAGCTTCAGTTTGTAATTCTAGATCTAACTCTTCACGGAATGCTGAAATTGAATTACGCGATATGTTGCTGCTTTCACAACTTTCAGGATCAAATGACATAGGAGCCATTGATATATCTTTTGTTGAAGAACGGCGTCGTTTACAACTATCCATGTTATTCAATTTCGGAGTTTGAAGTGGATTAACTGAAGACTCTTGAGTACCTGATGCTGTTGAATTTAATAGAACTGCCGTGAATGAGAAAGCAAACGGGGAGGCAGCAATGATGTTACGTTTCTGTTTAAGGTGAATAAAAAAGACCATAATAATAAGTACTCTTCATTGTAGTAAAAAATGGTTACTTTAAGGAAAAATCTGTGGGCTACACTTGAGTTACACCCACTGAATGAATTTCAACGACAACCAGCTGCTAAAATTATAATAGGTATATCAGCTTTACATTTGTAACATATTATTGGAGTCAAGTGCTTAGGTGACTGAATTACATCCCAATCAAGGTGAACTTTGAGTCCCGGCAAGAATCCTATGATTTCGCTTACTCTGGACTGCATGACTTCATAAAAAAGCTTTCCTTCTCAGCTTAGATACATTCAACATAAGCTCTGAACCATGACAATTCCAAAAGTGAGTCAGTTCATGGAAAACATGTTGCAGATTATGTGGATACTGTGCTAAAAGGATGTAGCTATCGAACAGAAAATCCCCATATTAATTCATGAAACAAAGATGCAACAGCGAAGAAAATTTTCTAATGTCATTTACTAGATCTACATAATCGTATTCATAAAAACCAAAAGCAAACAACAGTCTATTAGTAAATAATAGGATCACGTGACTGCTACAGTGTCCAAGCGAAGAACAGGAAGTTACTTCTAGAGGGAATAACTACTCTGGTCATCGTAAGGCTAATGACTGCACGTAATGTTTCTCAACACAAAATCAAGTTTGAGGTTGTGAATTACAAACGATCCGGGTATGCATGAATGAAGTAATTGAAGTCCTTTGGAATTGTAAGGAGTTATTCCGTAGGTGCTCAAGAACTGTTGATTTCCCTACTCCCTTTCCCTTTCTCTCCTCGGGATAACTAAGTTGGACAATGTCTCAAAACACGTTTACGAACTTGAAACTGTGTACGGTTGATGCATGTTTTTGTGTGCACGCGCGTGCGCACTTCAGGTTATCTAGGCACAATAGAATATTGCTGAAGTATATCAATGGCTGTTGTGTACGAAAAGAAAAATGAAAATTGACAGGAGAATAAATAGGCTTCGTTGAATGATTATAAAATAGTGCATTTCATGTATTAAAAAGTAATAAACTTACAATCTCTTCATTAGCATCTGGAGTGTCAGCTTCAGCAACTGCTCGTTGACATATGAAACGTAACTGCCTCAAGAAACTTTTTGAGTAGACACGACGAGTAGCCCATACAATTAGCAGGTGAGCAACAGACGCCCGCACCGAATGACGCTGAACTCTGAATGTATTAACAATTGAAAGGACTTGTATTGAGGGCAAACATATCAATAAAAATAAAAACTAAAGTGTAGTACTGACATATGGACGAGGTGTAAAAATGACATGCATCTACTTAAAATCATTGCTTCAAAAATGTTTCATACTAACTCCGAGTTCAACCACAGAGAGTGAATTAGCTGAGTATGGAAGCAGGTCGATATTTACTGACTCGACTCTATCCATATGTGGTATCGACACAACATCCACTCACACATTAAGACTACAGTATGCCCTAAAGTTGTTTGTTCTTTCCTGTTATATTATATGCTCTTCTCTACCATTGGAAACGTGATTAGTGACATGATTAGGTTAAAAAACATTTTGACTTCAAATACCTTTGAAATATTAGTGATGCGAGCTACATTAAAGGAGTGTCATAAGTAAGATAAGTAGATCGGTGTGGTTGTGAATTTATCAACTAAGATAACAGACGAACAAATTTTACATGCTCATCCATCAACAGTATTGAGGCGGGGTGCCGTTTGTAAAAGACGAAGCCTCATGGCTGTCAGACGAAGGTATAGGACCAATGTATCTGGTTACTAACCAACGATATCAGTCGTACATTTTATGTGGAATATTTAGCGTTGACAGTTGGGAACGATGGACGATAACCAAAAGTTTATGCCAGTGATATGGATGAACGAACCTGATGGGGTATCAGAAAAACGTCATTTTGCCATAGCCCCCTTGTTTTCCGTGATGATGTACTGTTGTTTAGGGCTTCCATATTGTTCTGGTAAGTTAGCTAAGAAAAGGGAGTGCTGAAACCCCGAGTTTAGAAAACTAAAAGTAAAGGATGGAGATACAAAATAAAAGGCTTTGGCAATGCAACAACGTTGGAAGAAATTATGAGTACATAACATTTATCAGTTGACGATTGCATCAATATATTTCAGTAATGTTATACACATTTGGGGTCTAATTCACTCGCTTAATTCCGGCGTAGTATATTGGAATAAATAACAAAATTAACAAATATCTTGTATATATTCCCTCTAATTAATTTTGCCAGTAAGATTCAAGAGTATGAACCTGAAATTAAGTTTTCAGGATAATATTCAAGTTTTCGTACAGAGGGTGACCTTTATGATCATCCAATTACATCCGGATATGCAAAAAAGGATCAGTGTCAGTTTATGGTGAATACCAACCATCCATCTATCCAGATCAACCTAGGACCAGGCATTACTGCGTAACAGTCCAAGTTGCCACACCTCATATCAGTACATCAAGTAAAAAGGCAGAGAATGCAGTCAAAAAAAATATTAAGTACGAAAAGAGAGAAACGAAGAATGGGAAAGTGGTGAGATTCGGTATAGCGTCGTTAAGATGAGGATAATGTATGTATACAACTGCGCCACTGACATCGGTTCTGAGCCATATCACCTAGTCTCCAACCACTGGTTCCTCTTGTCTCGCGGACTCCAACCACCTAGTCTGCATCGTCCCACATGGCTTAAACCAACAGTCAGAGACTTCATACATTGGTGCCATGTTTTAGTCTGGCTACCTCGGGCCTGGTCCCGGGTTGGTCTAGATGGATGGATGAATGAGAAGTCGTGACCGATGGAAACAACTATGTCGGACACGAGATTTACTCAGCGACGGTAGTAGGTGGGGGTCTCACTATGTCGAGAACTGACAAAAGTAGGTAATATGAAGCGTATGATTCTCACCTAGTGGCTCAATAATAACATGTTGCCATGGAACATGACCAGTGCCCCTAGGTTTCCAATGTTTCTCAAACTGATTTCAGTGCATGATGAATACCAACCTGAAATTCGCAAACCCGATTTGTTCAATTGTGAATTTTAGCAATTCCCCGACATAAAATCTTTCCAAATACCTCACAAAAATCCTTAAACCATTGCAAGACAACTTGGTGTCACTAAAAATTCATTAGACTTCAAACATAAATTATTGCAAACAAGCAATGATGAAACAATGGTTAACTTTGATGTTTCTCTGTATACGAATATATTCCGGTTGTTACTTCTTCATTAGAATCTGATATTTCCTTATCACTTAGATGCAATATTTCCATGAGGGAAATCTGTGATGCACTGAAATTATTTGACCTCAACCTATTTACTCTTTGAAGGAATCTTTATCATCAAACCATTGGGCTCACCGGTCTTACCTATTGTAGCTTATGTATACATGTATAAAATGGAATCAGACCTATTTAGCCAACACAATTTAAAACCAAGAACAAGTTGGAGGTACGTTGATGACATCTTCGTCTTGACCAAAAGACAAGGTCTAGAAAATCTTTTCGAATATCTTAACAGCTGTTTCAATTCTGTAAAATTTACTGATGAGCTAAGAACAGAATTCAGAACGCTAGCTTTGTTAGACTGAAGGGTCATGCGAAACAACAATGGAACACTTGATATTGATGTCCATAGATAAGACAAACACATTCTAACAAGTACCTTGACTTCGATTCAGCTCACTCATTAAAAGCTACGTTAAACGTCGTCAAAAATCTGTTGACGAAATCACAAAGGATACCTTATGAAGTGAAATCCCATAAAGCAGATAGGCAACTTCTTCGAGATGTCCTAAAACAAAACAACTATCCGGAAAAGCTATTAAAAAGGATAGAAGGAAGTTTACCAAAAAGGGATATGGAAAAACCAACCCATTGAGATGGGATAAGCACTGCAGTACTTCTGTATCGAACATCCACATCAGAGGGAACAAGACGTATCCCTGACAGTTAAAACACCAGAGTGTTCTTAAAGGTGATGAACGTTTTACACTCACACCTGTGCATATTAAAAGACCCGGTTCTCTATTTGGAACAAGACTGTTTATAAGGTGGACTGTAGTGAATGCGATCCCACATACATTGGAGAGACACCACACCAAGTACTAACACGTTTAACCGGAAGTGGTCGAAGTTCCAGGCAACCACCAAAAGATTCCCCTGATCTGGAAAAACTTGAAAAATGCTATGTCAATGCGGCCCCTGCATTATACTCAGGTCATAAAATGTCATTCGAAAAGGCAGAAGTCTCGCAAAAGGGTTTTCTTTCTCACGAAGAGCGGGTCACTGCAGAAGCTTTGCATATCTGTGTGTAACCCTCTGTGGTCAACAGCAAAAATGAGTCAGATATGCCACAAATATGGCAAACAGTGTCGCGCATAGACAGTTCCAAATAATATATGAACAGAAGGTGGAAAACCACTTAACACTATTTCACATGATTTACTCTGAATGTATTCATCTTTGAATAGTTTTCGGTGTTATGTCGCTTAATCTCTTTAAAAAAATACTGGTTTCATTTTAATAACTTGTCTAGTCTTATCATATAACACTTTATTGATTTACTATCTCCATCAATTTTACGCTTGTTTCTGAGTTATATTCACTCTATGAACCATTTTAGTTTTCATAATCCATTTTCTCCTCATTCATGATTCAACTGTTATCATTAGTATAAGCTCATTTACTGTTGTCACCATAATGCTGTTTCAATCCGGTCGCCGTGAACCTTTTTCACGCCTGAACATGCTTAACCCAATACTCAGCGACAAGGCAGACTATGACTAGGTATGTGTATCACACGTCTCAGCCATCCTATTTGGTAATGGTTCACAACCTCATCAAGTGACTTTCCTCCCTAAAACTCTACAAATGACTTAGGTATTAACGACTTGGTGATACCGCGATAAAAGGCGTATGCTAAGAAGGTAACGGTGGTCAAACACTAGAAGCCCTTCCGTGTATTCTACCTCTAATGGCCATTTTTCGAAACTGTGCAGTAGAACAGGGCAGCAAAGTACACTCGACCCTTATTAGGCAATCGGATATCATGGTGGTGTCAGTTGGCGAAAGCTAGTCGAGCCTTTTGTATCTGTGCAGAGACTTCGTTGGCCATTGATAAACGTATCAGGGCAAAATCAACTTCATAGGTTGGCTAAGTGTTCAACGCACTCAACCATTTCATTCCCTACTGCTAGAGAGAAGAATGAGAAAATGCCGAGTTTATGCCAGATGATGGGTAGGAGGGACCTCCATAGGAACATCCATGAGAAAACTGAAACGGAATGGAGAGAGTAGGCATCCTTGGTGGATACCACTCGACGTAAAAAGAAGACCTGACAACTTGCTATAGGCTTTAACACGCCCACACCTGTTCTAGTAAACAGCCTCCAACAGAGTGATGTATTTATTCGGTACCCCTTTCAGTGAGAGACACTACCGTAAGATCTCTTGATCGACTGAGTCGAACTTCACCGTCACGTCGAAAAATACAGCTAGTGCCGGACGTCGATAAGTATGTCTTTGTTCCAAAACCTGGTGGAGTGTGAATATCTGGTCAACACATCCATAGCTACATCTGAAGTCTGACTGGCCTCCTCAGGTTTGCTGTTCTCAAGCTCCACTCAGACGTCTAATGGTCACAGAACTTAGAATCTTAGATAGCCTATTCGTCAGGCTGATTTCTCTGTGGTTATCACCTTTCTGGAAGACTGGAACGATCAGTGACTGATACCAATCACAGGGGGTCACATCTAACTCCAATGCGCCGGCTAACACCTCTGGTAACTTCACTAATAAACCTTGACCACTGTTCTTAAATGCCTCTGGCATTGGTCCGTCTGGCTCCGCTGTCCTTCCTCGTTTTAAGTTACCTACCACTTTCTCGACTTTCAGGATCCAATTGGATAGCGGGCAACGCAATAGTAGCTGGAGGCCAGCTGGACTGTTCCTCCAAGCGTTTCGCCCATCGTTCCAGTCGTCTTCCCTGCGACTTAGTGTAGGTAATGACCCACTTACATGTCTCTGCATTATTTAGTATGGAACCAGATTTATAAGGGTCCCAATTTAAATAATGATGAATCTATTACTTTGAAGCTTTAAGTAATTTCACTATAGCTATAGTAGATAAAAGTGCAGTCTTGGGTTGAGTGACTACTCAGTAGTCGTTTTATCAGTGATTAACGATTTACTGCCATTTATTTCCGGTTACGTTTTATACGTTACGGTTTTATTCAAATAAATATACGTCAGTCTGCCATCAGCTGTCAGTCTTTGGTCGCCACTTCCTTTTGGAAATAGCCGTAACTGAAATGCAAACAGTTAATGGTTCTAATCTCACGAACAGTTATAGCTTAGCCATATCTTAATAGTCCAGTTCAATAATTGACTAGGATTTTACTGGCATTTCGCCAGCCACGTTTGTATTTATAACAAACAAATTTAAAACCCGTATAAAGATGTAACGGTCTAAGATATATCTTTTAAACATATAATATGATCATTATAGGAGAAAGTGAAGGGTGTGTAAACTCCAAGCTGAAAATATGTGAAATTGAAGTTTACCGCCACAATGTTATACGACTAGGCATCACGGTATAGGTATATCTACCTGACTAATTCAGTGTATGAAGGCTTGTGATACTACACAGCTACCTGAGTAGAAGTATGTAGGTTTAAGGTTAAATTCTGGTCCAATGATCAGAAGTGTCTGAGCCAGACAGTTATACCACCATAGTCCTAACCAAGAATAATTTTTCTGTAGGGACATACATGGTGAATAGCTGAGAAGAATCGTCAATTTAGATGCACGCACAACTGAGAAAATAGCTTATAAACTCGTACAACACTAGCTAAGCGTACTTTGTATCTTCCAACTGTGTTAAGGCCTAATCTATATACCCACTATACCCACTATTGCAGAAGGTGTGGAAGGAAGAGAAGGTACCTGACGATTGGAAGAAGGGTTACCTTGTCAAACTGCCGAAGAAGGGAGACCTCAGTGTTTGCAAGAACTGGCGCGGAATCACTCTCCTGTCCACCCCAAGTAAAATATTAAGCCGCATCATCCTAGAGAGGCTTAAAGACGCACTGGATTCAAAACTGCGACCGGAACAGGCAGGCTTCAGGAAGTACAAATCATGTGCTGACCAAATTGCAACGCTTCGTATCATCATAGAACAGAGCGTAGAATGGCAATCAGCTCTATACCTTAACTTCATCGACTTTGAGAAGGCCTTTGACAGCGTCGACCGAGAAGTAATTTGGAAACTGCTTCAATACTACGGAGTACCGCAAACCTTTATCCGCCTCATTCAACAACTATATGAAGATGCCACATGCCAAGTAATCCACAATGGGAAGCTCAGTGATGCCTTTGAAGTGAAGACAGGAGTGAAACAAGGTTGCCTACTATTCCCCATGATATTCCTTATTGTGGTGGACTGGATCATGCAGCAAACAGTAGGCAGCGAGAAGAGGGGGATACACTGGACGACGGAAAAGAACCTAGAAGACTTGGATTTCGCCGATGACTTGTGCCTAATGTCACATAAACTTGAAGATCTGCAGGCAAAAACTAACAAGTTGACAGAAGAGGCAGCTAAGACGGGACTTCAGGTGAATATAGAGAAGACAGAAGTGATGAAGATACCGCACCACCACCATCAACAACAACAACAAACTCCAATCACCGTCAACGGGAGAAACTTGAAGGAAGTAACCTCCTTCACTTATCTAGGAAGCACTGTTTCAACTACAGGCGGGACGGACGAGGACGTCAAAGTCAGAATCGGAAAAGCAAGACAGGCGTTCATTAGCCTGAAACCAGTGTGGAGATCTTCTGCACTCAGCATGCGGAACAAGATACGGATTTTCAACACCAACGTCAAGTCAGTGCTCTTGTATGGCTCAGAGACTTGGCGCGTCACGAAAGGGATTTCCAATAAACTACAGACATTCATCAACAACTGCTTACGCTCGCTGCTGAAGATCAGATGGCCAGAAAAAATAAGCAACAAGGAACTCTGGGAACGAACCAACCAAGAACCTATCACGCAACAAATATGCAGGAAGAAGTGGAGATGGATTGGGCATGCACTGAGAAGGCCGACTGAGGACATCACGCGTCAGGCCCTCGAGTGGAATCCCCATGGGAAGCGACGAGTTGGACGTCCGAGGGTGACATGGAGGAGGTCATGCGAGGAGGAAATGAGAGCTTGTGGGCTGTCGTGGAACCAGGTTCAAAAGATCTCAGAGAACAGAGGTCACTGGAGGCGTGCTACTGAAGCCCTATGTTCCACTCGGAACCCAAGGGACTAATAATAATAATAATAATAATATAGCATCGCTCAGACAGATATTACGGTTCCTTGTTTACCTGTTTCAGGCATCGACGAACAGCCTTTACATCAGTAGGTATTCCTCAGCATTCCCTTGAAAATCAACCAGTCCCTCATCCTGTGTTACCAAATATGCAACTGACCTATCTTGTTACACAGCATGACGAATGGGAACCTTAAGATATGAGGCTTCATTTCTACTTTGAAGTGAGTTTTCGGAATTTGATGTTGTATCAAAGAAAACGAATTGCAGAGTCCTTACTTCAATTAATTCAAGATGAGGGCAAAGGAGACGCTACGATGGAATATTCTATCGAAGCTTCTACTGTAGAACGTACCCATGGAAACAAATTTAGGAGTAGAGATATTGATGTCTAACATATTACACTCTATGGATATCGATTCCTACATACACTGGAATTAAGATACCCCAGATGTGCGAAAATTAAAGGTAATATTAACTACAAGAGTCGGCAGGAGTAAAACGGGGGTAGTCTAAGAATAAAATGGTCACCAATTACAAAACAATGAATATGAGTTGATGAGTGAATACATGAATCGAACCTACTTTGATGTTTCTTTAAATGCTGTGGGTAAAACTGGTTCAAATAGCTTTTTGAATTGTGGAGCATCTGTAATTCCTCTTTGTATGATATCATTTGCAAGGTGCAAGAAAGCGATTTTCTTTTTCGGAGAAGCTAAATAAAATATTCGTCTAACACAAATCAATACTTTTTCGAAACTCTTTAAACCATAGTTTCACTAGGTCCTTAGCCATTTGTTTATTGTTCAGAAACCACTGTGAAGTAGTTTCCACAGAAGTTTGTGAGTTGTCAAGCTCTTGCAGTTTCTTAATAGCTCCTGACTCAGAGTATGCCATAGATAAATCTGGCCTGGTTTCGTTAGCCCTTAATGGCTGAAGTGAAGGCGTGTACCCGCAATAATTTTTAGGCAAGCTGAATTTTCGAACTCCCGCGTCTAGGTCTTGAGGGCGGCTTCCTTACATCCAATTGCAACGACCAGTTGTTGATAAGTTTCCGTCTAGCCTGTAGATAGATACGTTATTGCAGGGGGCGCGAAGAGCAGTATGAATTTGGTGGTGGACACAAGAATTTGAAAAAGAAAAAAGGAAGAGAAGAAAGGTGAGGTGACGATTCAGCAAGTACATATGACGCACTTACATTTAGAAATAAAAGATAACTGACAAACGGTAGGGCTGGACAAAGAAAAGGTGAGGCAGTCTAGAAGTCGAAACTCCAAGGTGAATGAGTAAGATTTCGGATGCGCTACACAATACCCAGTACGAGCTAGTGTAGATCAAGTGCTTTATTCATGCTCGCTTCTGGATCTTGCAGAAGAGTTCCAGTTCCATATCGGATCCCAATGCAGTAGATCTACCTACTGGCCTACAGTAACTCTAGTTGGCCCAAAGGGTGGTTGGGTGTTTAATAATTTTGTATGATTTTTCCAAGGACTGTGGTCCGGATGGATTCCTCAAGTGCCACTTCACCAGACAGTCGTTCGAGCTGGTTGTGAGAAGATAGAAAAGAGGAAAAAGTGTCCAACGAAATCAAGGGAGAGGAACTGCGAAGAAACACAGCGAAGAGAAGCGGAATGGAGAGGAAGGGGAAAACCAGGTGGATTCGTACAAGATAACATTGATAAAAAAGCCTTAATAAGTAGAATGGAAGGGAAACAGTAAGTGTGATCTTAGGGGCATAACGACTGTAGGTGAAACATCTAACATGGAAGTATGAGCTTAGGTAAAGTTGGAAATGCTAATAGCAGTGTAGCGTCACACGCTTCCCCAAAATCAATAGCCTAAGGTTTGACGATTTTTGACATTGATGCTGACCTTGATAGTTTAACTGGACTCGCCAAACTGAAGGCACCCGGTCAAGCATCCTCGCCATTTGGCACGCTGTCGTGTTATGTTGCACTGCTCGTATTCGACTCTCTAGCCAGTTAGTTGGAACGCATCGGTGTCTTGGCACAACCATCCAAATATACTATTCCATCCGACTACGCCATCGTGTTCTTCCTTGGTCTCTTACTCGTGGTACATAACCGGTCCGAATAATTAGTGATTAGTCTTTGCGTCTGTCAAGTTCGCACCAGGACAAGTTCTAAAGCAGTGGAATATATTCGGTATAAGGTTGACTGTGGTGGGTTGTGCGGAAAAGTTTGTTGCACCGGTTCAGTCTGTATCTCAATCAGATGTGTGATGCAGGCTCCTCTGTGCAGCTATCCAACCTCTTCAAGAAGCTACCAACAGATGGACATTTGGAATCTCAACATGCAATACTTCCCAGTGGCTATAAACTCGCAGAGAGAAAAAGCATGAACGCACATGGGTTTCCATCCCTTTATGGATGCTTCTTCCTCGGTTACTACAAAGATTGCCGCAATGGGCGTTCGGTAGGATTCCAACCTTTGACTGACTTGCATTACTAAAAACTTTACAAACCGCTTCCAAGTCACTACGTGACCTATGGTAACTAAGTGAGTATAGCCCTGTGTCTTACAGCCTGTTCTCATAGGGTCTCGCCGCATTCCCACAACACCACTCTGCTCGCCTCTGGACTTTCTACGCGACTTTCAAATCCCTCTTGAGGTATGCTGGTTCAGTGATGCTGTGGAACTCTGAGTGAGGTCATGTACGAGACTTGTAGAATTTCAAGAAGAGTTCCGAAGTGGGGGAAATTGGGTGCTTGCGCATTAGGCGCAATATTGCTTAGGCTTTGTTGGCATCTTCTATTTGACTAGGACAGGTGTCTGGCTTGTCATTTAGTATCCTCCCAGGTCTTTCTCCATTGTCGTGCGGGAACTTTTTGCGCTACAGAAAAGGATACCTTTTGCCGGTCGGGATTGGGGAGACATATAGTCTGGCTTTTGTTTAGACGAAATGCTACTGCTCCCTGTAAGTAATCTGAACCCATTTTGTAGTTCCCTTGATTCCATTTCGGACGTCACAGCTTTTCTCAACTTGACATTGTCAGCATAAAGTGGAATTCAGGAGTTGGGATTCTGTGGCAGGTCATTCACAAAAAGAACGAACGACCCAGAACCGCTCCTAGTGAAACACTAATTGTTGATGTTCCTCAAGTCAAGCAGACCGTTCTTACTTTTTTGCGGAATGTTTTGCCGCCTAGGTAACCCTGCGGCCAAGAAAGCACCTGACCGCTGATGCCCAACTCTGGTGGCCGACAACCTTTAAGCTTGTGCCTTCTAGATTCAAGACGATTATGGTCGGTCCGTCTGGGACCCTGATAAGGTTAACTAGAGCGCGCAAATCCGCCATATGACTTTCCACTTAGTTTCGTGTTGACTTTATGCACTTTTGAGAATATTCGTGCTTCTTAGAGACGTCTTGCATGTTTTCTGTGTGCCTATGCAGCAGCAGTTTACTTGCTTTGAATTTGACGCGTGCGATCCATGTGCAGTCATTGTGTCTCAGGCTTTTCATATCGTAGTTGTTTGGGAATCGTCCTCGTGCCAACTTAACGGATGCAGAGGCCAATGACTAATTGTTCCTACTTGTAACATACCAGGAAATGCGAAACCAAGGAAGACTGCAAAAGCGTGACCAAGCGGGAATGGTGTGTTTGATATGTCATACCAAAATGCTGATGAGTTTTGAACGGTTAGCCAGAGGATCGATTACCAGCGGCGCGACGTCAAACTACAACGTGCCAGATGGCGTGAATGCTTGACCGTGTGCCTTCAGCCTAACCAGTTCCATTGGAATATGGAGGCCAGCATCAATGTCGAACCCCGTCGAACCCTAGGCCTTTGATTTTGGGGGATTACGTCCTGATGCAGATCACCCTCCACTAGCGTGCTCGTGAGGACCCTAGAATGATACCGGCGGAAGTAAAAACCCAGCGGTTTCGCCACTAGTAGCATTCTCTCAATGGGTCGCTAATATGAGTGACCAGTGGCTCTCTGAACTTATTCTTCGGCGTCGTTGAATAAAACAACAAGTTACCAAATTGTACGCCGATCGCGATCCATAGTATCCTTCGACGTTTCGTTCAGTGGTCGTTGCACCTGGAGTAGGAACAAAGCCCTCAATGCCGCGAAAGTGTCCTGCGAATATGGGAAACATTTTCAAGCAAATAATATCAAAAATAGATTTTATGCCTAATTTTACTTCGTTCTTAGAAAATTGTGCAATTACGTGGTAGTAATCACTAATACAAAAAAAGAAATGTCAGAAAATTCTCGCATTCGCCGTTAAGGCGGTGCCTCGAAAAAAGTTGGAGGTTAGACACAGTTGGCATGTTTTTACTCGCACTCCTCAGTTGATTGTGCCTTTGGGTAACCCGGGAATCTGATAGTTTGGCCTCACTGCGTTTTTCGTTGTGTAGATGACCGCTGTACCTGCACGCTAACATGTAAACATTCAGAAATTTCGATAATTGGGCTGTCTGCCGGTCGGCTACAGTGAAAAGTAACGTCGCCCATGGTGGAGTTACCTTCAGAGTAACCTGGTTTCAAACGGTCGACATTACTAATATCTTCGCCACCATTTCACTCGACTGTCTAGAATTTCCGGTCCCTCTTGACTGCTTTGAATGGCCTACCGCAAGATGGTTCAAGCGGCCAACAAACGGCATCTTGGGGTATGAGAAAGTGCGATGTTTCTTCTGAGATGGGGTGAAGGAGACAATAGTTGTTTGAGGTCGGACGGGAGTTTGCCTAAGTGAACGCAGCGTGTTTGTAAGCCCAGCCATGTAGGATAAACTATCAAAACATTTTGGGAATTTGGTGGGGAGGCGAACTCACTCGGGAGTCGACGCGTGGTACGGCAAACGAGCTCTGCAGAATTGCATCCAACATCAGCTTGCAACACTTTCCGCACACCCCGGCGGGACTAGAGACAGAGTTACGGTTCACTGGAGCATACCTGCAGCTGAAAATGAAGTATTCGAAAGAATTTCTGGAATTCATCCGTGACAAAAAGTGATAAGGAAAAAACTACTGCTCAACAGCCCACGTTTTATGATGGTATTAGCTTCATCCCAATGCAAGTACATGGTATGAGCTTGCTGTCTCGTCACAATTGCCAGTACCCCTACTGTCTGCTCCCACCTTTTTATAAATTAGTCATGAGTTTTATCCCCAAGCATAAGTGGTTACAGTCAGTCTTATTGTTAACTGTAGATGTATCATATCCTTATTTCATTATCTATCCGTCTTGTATCGGGTCTACCACTATACCACTTCTCCCTATTACTTTTCCTCTAGTTCATCCACGCACCCCTATCCACATACCGCCAGCTTATTTCATACTTACCCAGCCGTAGCTGCTCTATCTCAACCGTGAAATAACACAGAAAGGATAAGACTCCATGAGTACCATTTGTCTATTATCAACGTGGCTTATAGGGGTGGAATCGTCACTTCTCTCAGCAGATGTCAGGAAACCTATTTGCTTCCCAGAGAATGTTCCCTTTTTCAACGGGTTATCGTTGGTTGTCGTGGCCCCCTACTTTTATGTTCTGGCCTTTTTTGCCCTATGGATACTGCTTTGAAACCAAACGTAGTAATCACCACACTTCACATGCCCTAAAACTAATCCAACAAGAAGCAGAAAAGCCCATTCACCATCAAAGCTCCGCTTCACTCCGAAACATCGACAGTCTTGCTGTCTTCCACAAAATCAAGTGATAAGCGAGGAAATTACCGCTTCATATCACAGTGGTATACTCATCGGGGCACACAAGAATGACAAGCTTTCCACATGTTGAAACCTGTACCTCAATAACAATCGTGAGTTTTGCTTCATAAAATACTCACTCATTGAATATCCTGCAGCCTTTATGTCCGTTTTCGAAAATTACTGTTCCTTATCAAAACCCGCCCTTCAAAACGCAT